CCTTCCTTCCTTCCTTCCTTCCTTCCTCCCTTTTTTCCATACACTAGAATCAGTGCTAAGAGGACAATTAAAAAGTATAAAAGGGGTTGAAATTTGAAACATGGTGTCCAGGAAAGGCGTCATTGGAAAGATGACTTCTAGCAAAGACTCAAGAAAAATAAATAAATAATGAGAATGTTAGTCATGCAGATGGTACATGTTTAGAGGTACTGGGAAATACTAGAAGCAGCCAGGTCACAAAAGGACCTTGGGTGCCACATAAGGAGTTTGTACTTTTGCCTAAGGTGATGGACAGCCCGTGGAAAGTTTAAACAGAGGTGGCCACGGTTGCTGTGTGTTTTAGAAGCCTCGCCTGGTAGCAGCACGGGAAGAGATTGGAGATGGACAGGGGCAGAGTTGGGGAGACCAGCGGGATGGCACCCACTGCATAATTCTGGTGAGAAACACTAACCCTGATCAGGAGACTGGTGGGTCTGAGTCCCGCTGCAGGAAGCAGAATGGGTAAGAGTCGGTAACTTGGGGAACGAGGAGGGTGGAATGAGGCTGACGCCCAGGCGAGACGGGTCCATAGAGGAAAATCAAATGAAATCACCAGGTCGACATGCAACAAAATGTTACGCGTTTACAGGGATGTGTATTATGAATGCTACTGGCAATGGCTAGTCATTGTTATTTATAACTAAGCAAAAGACGATGGGTGTCTTTTTTGAAAATGGTACATATGACCAAACAAACAAGCAAGACTTATTTGGGGTGTGTCTGTGACAATTCTCTATTAGCAGGACGGGAAGCGCGATGGGCCCCAATGGCTTTGCCGCTCCCCTCCCGACAGACGCAGGCACGTGCGCGTGCACACACGCAGAGACACTAGCATGCGCACACATGCGCTCACCCACTCCTCCCAGCGGGCGATCTTCTCTGCCATCTCCATGGCTTCCTTGTGCTCCCGTTCGGCTTCCTGCATAGCCTCCTTGGCTATGTGCTCCTCGGCAGCCCTCCGCTCCTCCTCTACCTTTTCCTCATCCGTCAGACCATAATTTCGAGGTTTCCCAATCTCTTTGATGAGCCGCGTGGTGGCAAGTCTGTTCTGAGCATCTTCGAGTTTTCCTACATCTTTACATACCAGGAGAGAAGAAGGAGATCAACACAAACGTCTATTCTGGGCCTGTCTGCAATATATTCTGCTGCAATGCTAGGAAAATTCTTTGTTACTATAAACTTGTGATGGTAAATTATGTACATGTATGTAAATTGACATACAGGGGTTCCCTTTTCTAGTTGCCCACACAGTTCAGAATTTCTCGTCTCACTGGCAAATATCAGACCCGTGTCTGGGAGACAGGGAGAAAGGCTGGCCTTGGGTCTTTGCTCCTGACAGTTACTATTGATTTAAGTGGATGAATGGGGGGAATGGACTTCCTCAAAAGGAGTAAGTTCCCCGTCCCTGGAAGCATTCAAGCAGAGATTGGGACGCTTCGGTCGGGGGTTTGCACAGAAGGAAGTCCCGCACTTGTTGGAGCTTCCGCTGGGAGACCTCCGGGGCCATTTTGTTTTCTGTTTCTGAGAATCAGTGATTCTGGGATACGTTTTCAATTCATTAAGAAAAATTAAATGTTTCGGTTGGCCTACTTGAATAGAAAAAAGTCCAAACTCCAGAATATCTGACTAATGTTAAGATCAGGATCAAGAAAAAGAAAAAAGAAAAACAAAGGCTCGTTGGTGACAATGAGCTCTCCACAAAGTCACGCAGTAGTAAATTCTATCCCGTTCCTTTGGGTGTGCTTGGAAGACGTCTGCGTGGAAGGGTGTGTGGTGGACGCATTTTGGTATTCAGCACCTCCTGACCATCTCCAGGCAACCTCTCACCTGCCCCCATGCATACCACCGTGGTGCTCCCCTCCCCCACCCCATGTTTGTACTGTATAACCTTGACCTACACTAAGGGCACCGCCAGGTCCTAATATGGAAAGAGAGAAAGAACAGGGCCAATGTATCTGTTGATGGTGGAAGCAGGCCAAAAAAAGCAAAAACAGAAAGAAAAACTCACGTCTGCTTCCTCCTGGTTGCCTGAGCTCTGACATTTTAAACCTTATTTCTCTCTGATTCTTCTAGTAGAGAAATTACAAACCTGATGTGCTTGAAAGCGCTCTGAAACAGTTTTGAAAAGCTTTGCTTTTGGAGAAGGGGCTCATAGAGCACAGAGCCGCCCCCAGCAATACTTCTGCCCTGACCTGGGGGTGGGGAGCTGCAGACTGGGCGGGGTGGGCACTGACCACGCCGTCATGGCTGGCTTGCCCTTCTTGGAATGTAGAATTAGAACTGAAAGTCACGCAGCCCAGGCTGGAGGCATCCGGGTTGTGCGGTGGCCCCGGGCCACTCTGGGGGCTAGAGAGGAGATAGAGAGATTCTGGTCCAAAGAGCGAGAGAGTAAGTAGACGAGAGGGAAGGGGAGTCCAGAGACACAGGGAGAGAATGCGGGTGCCAGCATCTTTCCAGGGGCCCGTTCCAGACCCTCCTGAAGCCGGCTGCGTTCCTGACCTTGACACCATCCCCCACACTCACCCCTGTGACACATTTCTCCCCTTTGCTTTCATTGTCTCCTGGTCGTCAGCATGGAGATGAGGCCGATCGTGGGGGGCACAGAATGAGCCAGGAACACAAGGGCCACTCATTCACCCCTCCCACCATTTCTGCCTTTCTCGGCGTTTCTCCCTGGAGCTCGCCTAATATTTCTATAAATACTTTTTTGGGCTTTACTACAAAGATGACAATTACTGTCTTTGTGATAATTTGCTCACCATTTTTTCCTCGTTCTCTAATTAAATAGGGTAAATGACTTTCTTATTAGTAAGTGTCGAATCCTTAGCGTCAACATATATAAACAACATGCACAGACAGAGTCAGGTGAGGGCCAAACCCGATCACTTCTGAGGGTGCAGAACAGAAGAATCTGCAGATCTACGAGTACCGTTCCATCTTTATTTCTCGGTAGGCCATCATTTTAGGTGTTAATGTTGTTAGTACAAACGACATCACCACCTGCCGGACCCCGTCGGCGTGCCGACACGTCCTGTCTCTTTCCTCTGCCATTTGGAACAACAGTACGAGCCAGGGATTATTTTTCTGTTTCACAGATGACAACACTGAGGCAGAGCCAGAGCTGGAATCAGCTCGCCTGCCTCTCGTCAGCAGTGACTCTAAGCCTCCCAGTATTCCAGGGCCCAATCACTGTCCCGTCTGGCTCATGGGGGTGAAGAGAAGCCTCACGAGGTGCAAGGGGTTGGCCTGGCCCAAGCTTCCAGCAAGCTAGGGGTTTCTCTCCAAACCCAGAGGAGAAAGACTCAGAAAACCAGAAGGAAGTTCAGGGGTTCGCCCAGCTGCAGGGAGTGGGGACAGTTATGACAGCTGTGATCTGGAGCCAGGAGTGATGATGATGTTGATGGTGCTCGCTGTGAGCTAAGCTCTGAATAGAGTGTTTACGGGAACACGGAGAAATGAATTGAGGAGCTATGTACTTTTCCGAGGAGCTGTGGGGGGTCTGCTGGCTGTCTACAGTCAAAGAGGGGCTTGGTGAAGAGCATCAGTGCCCCCACAGTATTATGGGGATGAAACACTGCCCCCCCCCAACACCAGATCCAGGGGGTGGCCCAAAGCAGCCAGCAGCAAACACACATTTCTTTGAAAAGTCCTTTTAAAAAATGCCCGTTTGGTATTCTGCTTCATTATATATCCGTGTGTCTTCATATAACAACAACACCCCACCACGAAATCAAGAAGTCAAAGGACTCCCCAGGAGAGCCCCGTTTATTCTGTGACTTCCCACCTCCCATGCCCAGCATCTGGTTATATTTTCCTCTCTGTCCTCCCCAGCCCTTAGCTAGACTTAGATGGGGTTGGCCAATGTGCGTGAGGAGGGGGAGGTCTGACACGTGGCAGTCTCTCCCCACGTGGGTTCACATTACCCTTGAGTTCATTTCATACCAATATGAATCGGGTGGATTTCAAGTTCATCAAAATAATTGAAGACAGTCTCGTCTTCGGTGTTGATGTCCCGGTAGTTGCTCAGAGCGCGGAGGAACCGGTCCTGGCTGTAGTGGGTCCCCGCCACAAAGCTCTCCGGAAGGTTCATCACCCGGTCCTTCAGGAACTCATCCGAGGCATCCAGCGCACAGACGAATTCTGGGGAGAAGAGGCTTCTGCGTTAACCCAGTGACAGTGGGGTTAGACGGGCTAGCACTTACCCCAAAAGTCTGGTAACCGGCCAAGTCCTCATGTTGCGGCAAATGGCCTGACAGATTGGCCTTCTTGCTTCCTCTCATGGAGGTGAAATACATGCAAATCACTCACTCTTCCAGAGACCACCCTCGGAGGCCCAACCAGTTGGCATTAGTAGAATCTATTGTTTTTCTTTCCCTCTCTTCTTTTCTTCCTTCTTTCTCTCCCCTCCCCTCTCCTGTCTCTTCCTCACTTTAACTATAGACATGACTTCAGAAAGACAGAAATAACTCAAAAATAACATTTGAGATCTTAATATCATCAACTCTTCCTTCCTTCCTTCCTTCCTTCCTTCCTTCCTTCCTTCCTTCCTTCCTTCCAATAAAAGCAGCAAAAAGTGTAAATGGCAAATGTCTAATAACCCTGTGGTATCTATCATCAGCTTCACGGTCAATCCCCAAGGAGAAACATGGCTACGAGCAAAATGTTTGATGGCTAATTTGCCAAATTAATAAAAATGGGGACTCTTCTTCGGTTTTTACTTTTCGGTGGCTCCAGCGCTTTCCTCCCTTCGTGCCACTGGCTATAAAACATCTATGGCCAACAGAACACGGTCAGTGCTTACCTAAGTTTTGACACATGGATCTTGTTAATGATGGTGTAATTTTACCACCTGTAACTTCCTTTTAGACTATGAAAGCAGCTGTCTCTCCAGCTTCTATAAGTTCAATGGCTATTTGTCGAGTGGATGAATGAATGATTAAAGAGCAGGTCAGTGAAGTAAGCTTTCTAGGCGAGTTACTATTCTCAGACATCCTCAACGTGATCAGAGATACAATGGCGCCAGATGCATCGCAGAGAACTAGCTACCTATGAGAGCCTGGTGAAACGTGACAATGATGTTTTCTTCAAAAATTATATTGGTTCACCACATGATAATGCCATTCTCACTTGATTGCATTCTCATAAGCTTTCTTGAGTGAGCGAAAAAAGAAAGTGTAAGGGCAGGGCCCAGAGCAGGGTGCGCCCACAGGGTGTGCCCACGGGGTGCATGAAACACGTGTGAACAATGGCTGCTTCCTGTGTTAATAGTGAAAACAAAGGCTGAGGGCAGAGGCAAAAATTCAAATTTTTGTGGTACAAAGGAGACAGTGATCTAATTTTTTTTGAGGAAGATAGAAAATAATGACAGTTTCTGGAAAGGAGTAATTTACTGAGAACATACTAATCATCCCAAGCAGACTACATCTTAGACATGTTTGGACCGTGTCCAACAAAGACTGGGCAGCCCAGAGGGTCATTTTACTTCTGTGTCTCCATCTCCTTATCTTATAGAGAGTTTCGTTAACTGCTTTTTGGAGGCAGTAGAGTGAGAAGACCTGGATTTGAATTTACGCCCTTCTGTTTACCCGTGTAGTGGACGTGGATAAGTGTCCGGGCTTCAGTTTCTAGAATGGGTAAACGTGGAAGTAATTCCTGCCTTGCAGGACTGTGGAAAGGTTCAGTGAGCCCATATCTCGTGTGGTGCCTGGGGTAAGACAAGCGATTAGCCGAGCCGACTTTTATCTGTTTATGCCTCAGTGAGAACATGAGGATTTATGATGGGGTTCGCAATGAATGAATATTGCCCAGAAGTGATAAACTCTCATAACCTGGACAGACCAGGTTATTTAGAGTAATCGACTTTCCTTTTTAACCTTTTCTGAGCCAAATGCATAAATGAATGGGAAAACTGAGACAATCCATCCCTTTGGCACTTCATGCTCCTGCCAATGGTTTCAGACCTGTCCGGCAAACCGTAAACCCCGTCCCCGAGAATGACCACACATGTGCTTCCCTAAGCTTCATCGCAAGCCATGCCTGGACCAAGACGAGGAGAGGATTACAGCCGTGAACTGACTTTCTTGGAGACTTTGATGCAAGTGAGCAGGCCCTTCTGAGTTGCAACTGTCGGGGCCCAGGGCGGCCTGCCCCAAGATATCGCACAGTGGCATATTGACTATTTTGAATTAAAGTTACTTAAGAAACTGCTTGTGCAGGAAAAAAACCCTGACCTCTCTATCCCCTTAAAGGCAGGAGATAAATCTCCCATGTGATAGGGGCCTCCTGCTACTGAGGGAGGAGAGATAACCTTATCACAAGAGTTAAAAGAATCCAGAGTGGAAAACAAGTAGGAACAAGCCAAGCCTCAAACGTCTTTACTGAATTACTACCCAAGCCCAAACTTTGTTTAAATTCCTGACAAAGGAATTCCTACAACTGCCTAGATTCCTTTATAATGAGCACTACCTTTCTTTTTTCTGCCAATTTCTGACAAATTTATTGTTTCTTTGTCTAAAAAGTATAAAAGGGTGTCTGGTTCGATCATTTCTTTGAGCCTCATTTTATGATCTGAGCATCTTATTATGACTCTCCAGTGTGCACATATTAAATGGGTTTTTCTCCTGTTGATCTGGTCTTGTGTCAATTTTATTAATTTTATTATTAGGCCAGCTGTAAGAACTAAAGAAGTGACAAGAATGCTCCCTGTCCCTGACACGACCTTTGTACTAAGTTGCCGAAAATAACTATTCTTGTATTTACCATATGACCCCAAATTACCTCTCATGATTATACCTCATGCAAACTGATAAAAAAAAAAAGAGAGAGAAAAACTTTTAACGGTCATGGCAAGGTCACAAGAAATGCCTGCCAGTTACTCAGCAAATCTTTTTACTTGCAATAAGTTGTTTATGCTTCTCTTTCAAGAGCACTTGTGCAATCTCTGTGTAAATATACGATAGAATACACTTTCTGTGGAGTCAACAGTGAACCGAGAGGCTTTCTACATGTCCTGCCTCAGTTCTGGTTTCTGAACGTCTTGGAAAAGACCATGGCATTGTTGGCACTTGAAACAGGTAGGAGCGGCAGGGATCCAGCCCCTAGTCTCGTCAGCTGACCTTCAGAAGTCAGGGCATCAGCAGACTGGCTGCCTTGTGCTTTGTTTCAGGAGGGAGCAGCAGACATGAACATTTTCAAAGATCTTTAACATGTCTGCTATTTACCCTCAATGCATTCTTTACTTGAGATGTTTGATTTTAACTATATCTTTTGACTTTATTCCTGGCGGGGAAAAGTCTGCTTCATAAAGACTGGTTTGGTACAAACGATATTCCTTTCAATATGACCTTGGAGAGAGATTTTGACTTACCAGGTATGATCACTTTATCAAAGGGAAACATTTTGCCTCTGACTTCTTCTTCCTCCTCTTCATCTTCTTCTAATAAAACAAACAAACAAACAAACAAAACAAGACAAAATAAAACAAACAAACAAAAAATATATATATACACATTGTTGTGTTTATTACATATTTTATCTAGCAGTCACTGGCGAAAACTAGCCACAAATAAGAACGTATGTCTTTCAGACACAGTTTCCCTGATTTTTTGTTTATTGTGGTTGAGTGACTCTCACTCTGAACGGTGACTTTGCAACCTATCTGAAAGTAAACACTCAAAATAAAGGGAACACTCACGGTTGAACAGGTCTTTGGCCTGATCATAGGTCTTTGGGAATCCATCCAAAATGTAGCCTTGATTCCGGCAAGGCATAGATTTTAGCTTTTCTTTTATAAACCTAATTATATATTGATCTTCCAGTCGGCCTGATAAAAAGAAAAAAAAATATTACTGTGGAGTCACATTCTACACAAGGGTTACATCCTAAAGTCACCTGAAAAACTGTCGTGTTGTCGAAGGTACTATTGAAAATCCCTTATTTTTTCCATTATAGTGGAAAATACGTGGTTTTCAATTTCGAACACGACACCTGAATTCTGGTACACGGTAAAGGAGAAGAACCCAGCGAGCTTGTCTCCGAGGACGAACGGAAGCGAGCGCTGACGTCTGCCCTTCCAGGATGTCCTCTGTGGCCATGGGCTTCGGGCGCAGTTGGATGTGGAGTAAGTGGAGGGATCCAGAACGCTCCCACTTAACAGCGGGGTTTCCTCAACTCTCGTTGGATATTATACCTCTAGGACCTTAATACATAATGTCGACCGCTCCTGTGAGTTGAGATAGTATTTGAGTATGTCGCTAGCATGTGATTTATTAATAGTAGATGCTCAATAAACATTTGCTGCATTTGAAGAAAGATCAAGATTGGCCTGACCCTCGAAGGCACTGTTTTCTTTAAAGCTGCAGAAAAGCACGTGGCCCCGACCCGTGCCCTGTCTTTTCCAGTCGGCCTGGTGTTTCTGGCTTTGGCCCCACTGGAGCCTTGCCTGCTGGGTTCCTGCAGTCGCTTGGGGGGCTGAGCAGCAGGGAGCTTGTTCTGAGATCGGAACAGTGGGTAAAGGTGTGGGGATTCAGAACAGGCCTCCCCAAAACGTGCCGCTTTGATCGGAGAACTGTTTCAAACTGAAGGCAATCCAGACCCTGTGGGCTCACAACAAACTTTTACCCATCCCTCAAAAAATTTATATTATTCACCAGAATTTTAAATTTAAAATTTATAAATTCACCAGAAATAACCTTTTTTTTTTTTACCTATCTATATGGCAGGGAAAACTACTAATTGCTGAATATCTGCCCTTCTTATCATCCCATATATGACCTTCCTCCCTTTTGAAAGAAGGTACTTTGCCTCATCCTTAGCTCAAAAAGTCACATATACATCATCTTCCCTTTTTGTCTTTGAACTTCTTATGCAGGGTTCCCACACATATGTATGTAATTAAATTTGGTTATTTTCTCTTGTTCACCTGTCTCGCGTCGATTTAATTATTGGACCAAAAGAACCTAGGAGAGTTGAAGAAAGTTCCTTCCTCCCCCGGAAAGACAATATGATGCCACTCCACCACAATATCCATTTGTCATTCCATCAGAATTGTTGAACAGCTACCATTTCTAAGACACAGCCCTGCCCTTACATAGCTTCATGTGTACATTACAGTAATGTAAATTTGGCAAGTTTAAGAAATAATCTCTGACGCCTTTTCTAGGGTTATCCTACACTTTCAGTTTATCAGTGGGTCTATACAATCAAATAAATAGGGGTTGGCCTCTTTTCATCACTCTATTAATGACAGTAAAATGATCTAATCAAAACACCTCTCCTTTCTTCTCCCTTTCATTGTCATATGAATCATTAAGCAGTAACTGATTCAGAAAATAATTATCTTTCAGAAATTTAAATATTATGGCAGAGACAAAAATGATCAAAAGCGTTATTGAGCATAACGAAATTCCTCTAAATGACTTGACATTACCTCCCAGTAAGGCTCACAACGGTGCAAAGATATCAAGCCAAATTTTTACAAAAGTCAAGGGGTTTACTAATAGCCAAAGATGAGTGTTGTTGAAGCGCTCTGCTTTCAGTTTTCAAAGACTTCCCTGGTGAGGTGCAGGCGCATGCTCAGAACTCAAGCTTCTATTCCTTCCCACGCATGTTTTGGGCCGTGAGCTTTGTCATTCATTTCCGTTCCCTTCCAAATGTAAGTGTTTGGTGTGCAAGAAGGGACCTCTAGCAAGTTTATGATCATCATGGAGTGTGAGCACACCAAGGGCCAAGTCCAAGTGTCTTTCTCCAGAGAACTGTGACCTCTTAGGGATACACTCAAGGCCAGCGTTGAGCTCCTTGAAAGAGGACGGTCACTTCTGCTTTAAAATGAAGGAGCACAGCCCTACTGGATAGTCTTTAAAACACCACTCTGCTTTTTTTTTTTTTTTTTTAAGTCTGTCTTTCAACTAACAGTAATATTTAAAATTGCAATATTAACCAGTATTCATAATTACTAAAACACTATTTAAAAATAGGTAGCTGCAACTAAGTTTTTTTTTTTTTAATATAAGAAACTGCCAAACTCAGCAATTCTTTTTAATCTTATAAATATCATCATTACCATGACTGTCCATGAAAGGACAATGTACATTTCCTCCAAAGACCTAAGGGTTAGAGGGAGAATAATTCTTCTGAGGAACAAACAAACAAAAAAATCTCAAAAAGCTCAAAAAAAATTTAAATTCCAGGGTCTTAAAATAATCCACACACAGTACAGATGCTGTGAAGTCGATACATTTACATGTTTTTCCTCTCAACTTTTTATTTTCAAATTCACAGCATAGTCCAACAAGCATCTGGAATCCCACCAACTAGATTCAATAATTCCATCACGCTTTTGAAATACATAAAGTGAAGCAAGAAGAGTCTACAACTAGTACACTCAGTGGTTTAGGGCAAGTCCCTATTTCGGCTGCACTGTAAGGGGCCGACGGGAGTGGAATTACAAGAAGGACATGGGGTATCTCACTGGGGGTTGCGAATCTGTCTTGCTGGAATCGTTAGAAACGCATAATAGCAAACCGAGCCATGGAAGGGACAAGCGAGCCAACCTCTGTGTCCTCGTGCTGAGGAATTCCTGTGTGGGTCCGTGTGGGGGTGGTCAAAGGTCTTCCTTTGTTCAAATACGATCAAGGTCCACATTCTAGCTTCTGGTGAACGGGACTAGGAAGAGTTTTTAGATAAACTTGAGGAATTAAAAGGTATCTCCCTAAGGTTAAGGGGGACTGGTGAACTACTCCAATCCTGTAGGAAGAGGGTGGGTGGGTGGGCACGCCAGTGGGGGTGGGGGAGGGGAGGAGCACTTGCTATTCTGAAGATGTCCCTTTCCCCAAAGACCACTTCCTCCGATCCCTTCCAGACAGAGGCCTCTGACTCAGTTTAGCCTCTTGTATCTAGGGGAAGAATAGAGGCTCCGGCCAAGGACAGGCCTTTCCTGAGCTTGGGCGATGCAGTGACCGTTCTCAACTGGGCACCACTTCTACTGTAATTGCGTGTGGTCACTGCCCCAGGCACGAAAGGAGCCCAGCCAGTACCTTGCACCATCCTGTTACATGACTTCCTTGGATAAGACTTTCAGATCCTTGCAAAGACCAATCACACAAGTCTCTGCCAATAAATATCATTCAGTATTTGTCTTATCCCATCAGCTTGAACACTGGCTTAAAGTGTATGTAGGCGTGGCCATGCACACCTGTGGATTCCTAAAACTCCCAGTGCCTCACCCTTTATTTAAAAAAAAAATTTTTTTTAGAGAATTTTTATAAGAGTTTATTTGAGCCAAAACTGATGACATGTCGGGAAGCAAGATCTCCATGCTCCTCCCCTACCCTTTTGTGACAGCCTGCTGACATGTGAAAAGGTTAAAGGATAATTAAAACCTGAAACTGGACAAAGGAAGTCTATACCTTAGGACTAGTTTCTGAAACCCCTAACCGCGTTCTGTTAATCATGAAACTTGTAACAATGAGCTCATACGCTAACTGCCAATTTTAGCCTGTGTAACCCTGCTTGCTTGTGTGGCATGAAAAATAATCAATTGTATATAAACTGAAAATTACTGTTTGGCCATCGTCCATGAGAATACTGGCTATTGCCCATGGGAACATAGGCAATCACCCATAGGAACATAACATTCTAACAACAAGCTTTCTGCTTCTGTACTCCCCGCTTGCACACCTGACCAGTGGGTTGACAGGTAGTGAATAGGAGAAAAATAGACCTTTGTGTTTAAGATAGAATGAAGAATGAGATTTAGGGCTTAAAAATCTTGTATCTTGGCATTTCGGGGCTGCTCCTTTGTACAGGACAGCCGCCGGCTTATAAACAGCCTTTGAGAGCATACGTGGTTTGGTCTATTCTATACAGGCTGCAACACCTTTAATGTCCCCTGGCCAGTTTTCCTTCCACAGGTGTTCTCACAATGGACTGTCTCATCTTAGGTTTTTCTCCCTCCCCCAATGGCGGGAGCCAGGACTCTGTAAGACTCTAAACCAAGATGCCAACTCCCAGGTTCTCAGGGGTGAGGCAGAGGCAGAGGCAGGTCGGTACCTCAAAGAACTAATCCGCAGTTTCCCGCATATCTTCCTTGCCCTCTGGGAACTCTCTCCAGGACTCTAAATTCCATTCCCTCCTGGTCTAGCCCACAGGGAAGCAGAAAGCAAGGCTCAGATAATCAGCTGGTTTAAGTAGACACTCAGTCTATGCAAAGGGAGCCATTTTCTCAACGCCCCCTCCCCGCCAAGAGGAGGTTGGCGTGGCCTGGGGGAAGGAGGGGAGGAGATGGAGGGGTAGCCTGGGCTTCAGAGCCAGTCAGGAGGGATTAGAGTCCTTGAAGATGAGTAGCTGGGAGGAGGACGCTTCCAGGGACAAAAGGATGGAGGGCCAGAGGGCCAGAGGTTGGAAGGGCAGTTGAGAGCAGGGCCTCAGGGGAATGCAGTGGGAGGTCCTCAGTGGTGACCTGTGTCCAGGGCCAGTTTATACCTCTGTCCTTCCCTAACGCCCTCTAGCCTCAGACCAGCTTCTGAAGATCAGAAACAGCCATCAGCAAGATGGGAGGAGCAAGGAGAGAAAAGAAACCAAAGCTGCTTGATGCGGGGGATAAACTCTGTGTCAGATAAGAGTCCAAACTGCTGGTTTCCCGTTGGACTGGTCTCTAGACGATCCTAGTAGAACCAGTTTGATGGAGGATCTCAACTGTCTAAGTATAAAAACGAAATGTTTTTGTTTTTCTAGTAACTGCTAACTGACTGTTTTCCTGCTGGGTAGCAAGCTCTCATTGAAACATCTCAGTTCAAGTCCTAATTGGTGATTATTTGATCGGAATGGACTTCTTAGAGCATGAATAAACAATGAGGCTACTTGCTGATTATCTAAGAGTTACAAAGGGACAAGCCTGAAATTCCATCCCAGGGTGGGGAAGGAATGATTCCAGAGTTTGAGCTTAAAATGACACTTTACTCTAATGAGTCTCTTCAACAAACTAGTTAAAATTACCAAGTGAGTGTAGACTGAAAAAGAGGTCCTATGGAAGCAACCTCGCGGGGCGATCTGACCATAGATTCCTAACTGGGCAGGTGGTGTGTGGTCACGCCCCAGGCCTGGAACTTCTGCAGTGAAAGGTTTTCAGCGGGCCTGTCCACTGTTCTTGGGCACCTAGGTTAACACGCCTTTGAAATACCAGAAGTGACACCTTTGGAAGGGGCCGTGACCTTCAAGAGAGCACATGATCTTGCAAACCATCCGGTACTCTAATCCCTGCTTTGCTCCTTCCCACCGCCACGTCATCTGTCATCTTCCTTATGTCCCCTGCTTAATCTCAAATGGATAAAAGAAGGTGTGGATTTGTTATTCTCCCGGGCTGAGATCTTGATCTCTGGCATTTGGTTCAAGTAAACGCATAAAAATTCTCTGCAGGTTTGGGTGTTTCTTACATTAACATGAGTAAGAATTCTTTCCCCCTTATTAGTATGTCTTCCTGCATGAATTATGGGTCCATGTTAGTCATCCATTTTTTTCTACTAAGGATTTAATGATTTTCTTACTAGTTTGAGCATTTCATATTTTAAGAATATTAACTCTGTCATATTGGTGGCAAATATTTTTCCTGGTTTGTCCATTGCCTTTTAATTAATGATTTTTGATGTTTATAAAATATATATGACTACACATTTGATCTTTTTTTTAACTTGGTTAGTTCTTTCTCATCTTATGATCAATCACCAAAACGTTAACAGTGACTTTTTTTTTCCCCCTGGGGGGTGAGATTATAAATGAAATTTCTTTGTGGTTGTTATAATTTCTGTACTTAATAGCAAACAAGTAGTCTTTTTTTTAAAAAAAATATTTTTCAGTTAGAGTTGACCTTCAATATTAGTTTCAGGTGTAGAGCATAGTAATTAGGCATTATAAGTAGTCTTTCAAAACAAGGGGAAGAAAACCCAAAGACTCATAGACCAAATTAGAAAAATAACATAAAAAATAAATATGCTGTGCTGTTTACCTGGAGATAAAAAAACAAAAGCAAACAAACGCTGTTAACAAGACCAGCACAGCCTGGAGCTGCGAGCATCACCTGCGTTCTGCTCCATGCTCTCCTTGATGCCGTCCAAGAGCTCTTGGGCATCTTCCACGTTTTCCTCTTCTTCTTCCTCTTCACCTTCTTCTTCTCCTTCTCCTCCGTACTTTGGTGCCACAATCGCCTCCTGCACGCCACAGGGATATTGCAATTGGATGATGCCCTGTGCTGATTTGCTACTCAGTAATCACCTGGCAAGTGATCCTGCAAAAAGCTGGTACTCAAGCGGGGAAATGCACTCGACTTCAGGATAGGTGTCGGGCAAAGGTCGTCAGGCTGCGTGAGTCCACAAAGATGGATGATGGCCTCGTGGGTCCCCCTGCACTATGTTAGGAGAATAATCCATTTCTATGCTAAGGACAGAATTGCTTAAGAATCGACATTTTGCTAGGTATCAGATTGTATCTCACTTGAAGGAAACACGTTTTGTAGAAATCGAGACTTGAAAGCAGTTGATTGGGGGTAGGGAGGTGTTAAAAAAAAAAAATGAAAAAGAAACAACAGAGCCAAGGTGGAGTTGCTGGCCCCAGGACAGCAAACCCAGACTCAACCTCGGTTTCAGCCCCTGCCGGGAACGTGGCCCCTCACCAATCACTCTGGCATTTCCTGATCAACACTGCGGAGGTGTTGATCTGCCCACAAGCTGCCAGCAGCCTCGTCCCCGAGGAGAGGTGCCCTGGCCTGAAACAATGCTTTCTTTTCCTTTGCTAATACCTGTCACACCCCACCCAGTTTCTGCCCAAAAGAACCTTCCACTTTGTACAACTTCTCAGAGCAACCCTCCACTTGCTAGGCGGGGTGCTACGGATTCGGGAATCACTCAATGAAACCAATTAGATCTTTACGGATTTGGGAATCACTCAATGAAACCAATTAGATCTTTAAATTTACTCGGTTGAACCTTTGTTATTGAACAGAGGGAATGCAGAGCACAGTGCAGAGGATGTTTAGGGCAGTAAAACTACCCAGTATATTATAATGAATGATGGTTACAGGTCATTATACATTTATCCAAATCCATAGGATGTACAGCGCCAAATGTAAATCCAGATGTAAACCATGGACTTCGGGGGATGATGATGGGTCAGCATCGGTTCACCGATTTACAATGACGTTTCTGGAGGGGGATGCTGACAACGGGGGAGGCTGTGCACGGGAGGGCCAGGGGACGGACAGGACATCTCTGAATCTTCCTCCCAATTTTGCTATGAACCTAAAACCGCTCTAAGAAAATAAAGTCTTTGTTTGAAAAAGCAATGATAATCAATAGTTTGATAATACCCTGAGAAACATACATCAAGAATTTTTAAAAATCTAAAAATATTCCAGTTAACAGAGAATACATGATATAGTTTGAGCAGCAGCTGGAGACAGACCAAATTTCCAGGGCAAACCATAAACGATGCCTCCATCTCATGGAGGAAAGTCCTGTGGGGTTTCGTGGGCCGACAATAAAATCCAATTAAAATAACAAACCTCTTTGTAGGAAGTCATGTAAAATCAGTGATTTTTGTACTACAAGACTAAGAAAAGCATTTTTTAAAACGTTAAAGTTCCCCATAAAATAGTTAAAAGTGATACCAGTTTTGCTATGGCTTCGGAAATGACGTCCTTCAGTTTAATGTGATGCAGTTTGTAGTACTTGGACAATACCTCAGCGATACTGGACTTCCCCACAGCAGGAGGGCCGAGAATGCAAATCTTGATGGGCTGAAAGAGGAGAGGAAGGAAGACATGGCGAGCCCTGAACTGTCTGTAGCTAGACGGTGTTCTTTATTTCAGAGGTGGGCCTTTCTGAGTCCCTGATCCTACAGCCTGAGTCTCGCTCCTCCAGCAAAACTCAGAGTCACTTCCTTCAGGTGTTTAATGAGCATCTATTACGTGCATTGACCTGGGTATGGGGAATATGACACTCGATAAGATGTGCTTGGGAATACCTCAAGAATACTCAAAAAAAAAAAAGTACTCCAGCAGTGCATGCTACCAGTTTCATGCTTTTTGTATTACTCCTATAAAGATAACAAAGAAATAGAAGAATTTCTGGTCTGGTATAGATAGTGCTTTAATTTATTGCCTCGTGAATATTGTTTCTGGACTGTACTTGGTCTTTAATTATACTTTTCTTTTTAACACAGTTAATTCCAGTTTTAAAAAATATACTCATTAAAAAAAAACCATTAAAAATGCCATTTCTTCTGCAGGAAAACTTGCTTGAATAGTAAAAAAGCTCTGTCACATTCGTAATCAGTGAGTAAATGTTTATTTCTAACAGACATAAAAATATCAGTAAAAAATAGCCATTTTTTTCCAAAATGGTCCAAACTGTTGTGGAACCGAAGCCTAATATTTTTGCAAGGCAAATTTTAAAAATTTTAAATAAAAATTTAAAAAATCATGTCAATGAAAAGACCTTGCACTGACAGAGTGTCCATGTGCTTAAAGAGTACATAATTTCATCCATGAACTTGGCCATTGTTATTATTATTACTATTTGTCAGATGAGGAAACCAAGGCCGTGAAAGAAATAAGCAGAGACACTGCAGTGGGTCCGGGCGAGTGGTGAACATGAACAGACCCGTCGGCTTGGTGACCACTGATCTCACGGTGATGGCAATGACCCAGGTGGAGGGCAGTGGAGGGGCTCAGTCTGGACTGGCAGGGCTGGGCTCCTGGGTAGGCTTGGCGCATTTCCCAAGGCCCAAGGTTCAGCCGTTAGCTGAGCAGGTTCACGTGCATACGCCGAGGGCCGATCTACTTCCTGGGGTGAGCTCACCTTATCCAGGTACGAAAACTGATTGGCAGTTTATTCATTTGTAGTGAGTAGTACAACTGCCACTGAACTCAGGACCCTCTGATGCACGTGGCACAACTACTCCATCATGATGGGCAGACAGGCACAGATGGCTGCTTGATGCACTTTGAGTGGAACGAGGAGAGTCAGAGGGATGGACTGTTGAGTGGCATCTGGTCAGGACGACTGCGCTGCTAAAGGAACCGGAATCGTGGACGCCCTGGGCTTGGGGCTCCATCTTTTGGCGTGTCGCTGCTGCAGCACTGCCGACGTTCGTTGCCCTCATAGGGGTTCCTCCTCTATGCCCCCAGAGATGGACAGACTCGTTCAATTTCCAGATATGCTTATTCCTTCTATCATGCTCTTGTCCAGACTTGCTAATCAAGAACCATATGGTCTCTTTAAGGTGTCTTATCTTTAACTGCATGCTGTTCTACAGTTGATGCACAGAGGAAACACTAATCTAAACTCTTGGGCTGGGTAATCTTCAAGTACAGCAGCCACGGGTATCTCAGATGCTTTAAAGGGTCATTGTTTCTTTGGCTAAGCAGCACATCTTTTACTTATTCTTAACGAGGCATGTTTCTCAGGAGAATATAGTTCTTAGGATACATGGTGACACTGATCTTGCTTGGATGAAGTCTTCCCATGCACAGTGTAATTACGACATTACTCTTTACTCATATGCTATTATTACTCTTTACTCATATGCTACTGTACAGTTGTCAAAACATTCTCTCATGTAACGCCCATGTTCATCCTTGGACTGCTTCTGTGGAATAAACCCCAAGATCTGGGCAAGAGCGGGACGTGGAGGCTCTGCGGTTAGGCCATACTGGCCGAGTTTGCAGCCTAGCTAGTTTGAATCCATAACTAGCTGTGTGACCTTGAAGAAATTGCTCCATCCCTCTGAGCTTTGGTTCCTACATCATAATATGGAGACAAGAATATCTATCTTGAAATGTTGTAATGATTAAAATGACCAGCAAATTTTCTGGCCAATAGGATCAAAGTAATCATCGGGCTTCTTCTACCTCCTTCCTACCCTCTCCCATTTGTATACCCAGGGCTGACACAGGCAGGCCAGTAAGGCCCCTGAGTTCTTCCCTTATATAAATACACAGCTCTGTGACAATCAGTCTTGAGCTTACTATCATATGTGTCAAGCATAACAGTCATTCTCCATGTTAACTTTAAAATTTTAAACATTCAGTAGACAGTATCAATCAAATATACACAATAGATTGTTAGACCTGGACAAATGGGTCAAATCTGAAAAGGAACTTGAATTTAGAAATGTAGGCATTTGAGAAGGGAAATTACTTTCATTGATATAATGACATGAAAAGTTTCACGTTCTTTGCTTAACTCCGAGTTTAAACAGGACTCAGTGATAGTTACCAATAATCCTCTGCTTTGCTTGTACTCTTTGAGGATGCTGTTGATGCTTTCCACAAATCCTGCTTGGGCCACCCATCGGATGTTAAAATTCTCCTTCACAAAGAGTGCCTCCATTCTCAAGTTGACCAGTAAATGGTCAATACTCTCTTGCTAAGAGATAAAGGCACATTAGAGATTTGTCTCTGTCTCTCTTTTTCATTTCGACAGTTATAACAGACCAAAATCACTGTGGTTGTTAAAGAAAAAATACACACACACACACACACACACACACACACACACACACAGTCCCTAAACATGCAAGTCAATTAACGCAGCACTAAGTATTGATGGAGTGCACGCTGTGACACTCTGTGACACTCTGAGACACTTCTAAACTCTCCCCAAGTCTGCTCTTCTATGATGGGCAGAAAACTGGCTCTTGTGGTTACACAATCAGCTCAGAGAGTAGGGCTTTCTTTTAAAGAATTTTAAAATTGTATCTACTTTCTGAATAGTGCAAACCCACGGTTCGAAATCCTAGAGAACAAAAAGCGTAGAGGAAAACATTGCCTTTGACACCCATCACCACCCACTCGGTTCTGCTCCGCAGAAGCAACCAATGATGTCAGTCCTTTCAGAAACATTCTCAAATGCAGTGTTTTGATCAATTTATCACTAAAAAAAGAAAGTTTCATCCTAAAGCTGGCTTGGAGAGCACACTGCATGACTAAAACTGTATTGGTTTCCGTTGGGATGGAATCGGAATCTCAGCCTCCTATTTGAATCTTAGAAAGAGGCCAAGGAGAATGGCCCCCAGTGTTTGTACCGCATTTTACATATCAAACCGCTTTCAAATACATTTTCCGACCACACCTCTGAGAGTTTTTCAGAAAAGAAAAGGGGATGTCAGAAGAGAAGAGGAAGTGGCTTAAGGTGGGCATCTAGCTGTGCAGGAGGAGCTGAAGGTGAGCTGGGAAGCCAGGCATTCTGACTGCAAATCCCTCAAGAATCATTACATTGACGGAAAAGGCAGGAAAAAAGAGTCTCATATACTAACTGTTAAGTCCTTGGTTAGGAAAGCATTTTCTCTGGGTACTTTCTGGATTTTCCCAGGGCCGGTATGTTTACTGATGCACTGTTAGAGAAAAATAGAAATATTATTTGGTTAACCTGTAAGATTTTAATATAAAAGTTCCCAGATAAATGCAAAAACATAACTGAATACCAAAGAAAAAAATATTGCTAAACAGAGGGGAGTGCCTTGAGGGTATTCATTCATGCATTTGTTCCATACGCATTTAAAAATCACTGCGTGCCAGGGACTGGAGATGGAGACGAGAAAGGCCCAATTCCTACCCTCAAAGATCTCCTAGTCTGAAAAGGGATGCAGACGTGTGTACACAGATGTATAATGTTTGCAGCTGGCAAAGGGGATGCCTGGAGCATGGAAGAAACTTCTAGCCTATGCAAGAGGCGGGAAGGAGGCAGGGATGGTGCAGAGGAAGATATCTGAGCTGAATCTTAAAGCTGAGTGGGAATGACCAGGGGGAAGTCAGGAGAAGCATACTCACTGGGCCAGCTGGGCTCTAAGGTGATAGGTGGCTTTAGCCAGAGTGGAGTGGACCAAAGAGGGAGCCCTCACAGACCCAGAGCTTTTGGAAGCTGCCAGTAGGTTTGGAGAACCTGACCACATCAATATGTTGAGGTGAGTGTCCACAGACACATTTTAGTATTCTAGTTGTTGCAGAAATATTGGGAAACAAGACCAGCAAGAAACCAAGCAGCACTTGGAGAGTTGGAGAACTCAGGTTTATTACGCCAGCGGTCCCAGAAGAGCTAGTGCTCTAAAGATCTGGGCCCCAAGCTCAGGGGAAATTTTGCTTTTATATGCATGCTGTTACAGTTGGCATGCGCTGGTTGGTTGATTTGTCCTCAGGTGGTAGTTGCTATGGGTTACACGGTGCGCAGAACTTGGGCTACAGGCAGTTACACAGAATGAGATTTTCCAATGGGAATTTAGGTAGTGATCTTGAGATCACTCTGCCCTTCGGCCTATGCAGCAAGCACATCACAGGAGCAGAACAAAGAGCTAATTACAAAGTTAGCCATTTGAATGGAAAATTCCTCTTCGTGGAGAGTGATTTTTGTGTGTGTGCGTGTGTGTGTGTGCATGCGTGTGTGTGTGTGTGTGTGTGTGTGTGTGTGTGTGTGTCAAATGCAGATGGTGAGTTTGGTTTTAAGACTATTCCACATTAGGAGCCCCCAGTCTTGTTAGCTTACCTGATTCCATAACTATGTTTTAAGGGTAAAACGATTTAAGAAATGCCAGCAAATATGGAATAAGGTGGCTGTACCTTGACTAAGTCTTCCAGGGTGTGGATAGACTCATCCACAGCAACCAGGTAATGATGCTTCGGCATGTGGTCGATGATGTTTTGTATCACTCTGCAGACCAACAGGGAAAACCATCACCGAGGGGAAAAGCAAATGAGATGCAGTAAACTAGAATTCACTGCCCACCACAGCCATGGGCCAGTCACCATGGAGGCTGGTGCTTTAGCAGGTTATCTCGCTCCATTTCCAGCAAGGTCAAGGTTGGGAGGATGATCTGCACTACAGATGAGCAAGGCGGTAAGGGGTTAAGTGACTTTTCTCTGACTATAGGGCCACAGGATTTGAAGGCAGATCCATCTGGCTCCAGATCCATTTAGTGTACATGAAAGACTATCTGAGCCTATAGGACTATCCATAGTTTATGAAGTCTGCCCTTGCGGAGGCTCACTGAAGCCACACGACAGTGCTTTGGGGCAGGTGTTTGACAAAGTAGACATGGATTCAGAGAAGCTGCGGCTTTCTGAAGGGAGTCACATAGCTCTAGGAACTGGATCTAAGATTTCCTACCCTGGATTAATAATAATTGCCAACATTTCCAAGTGTTTAACTCTGTGAGGGACTGTGCTATGGGCTTTCCAGGTGTTATTCTGCTGAATTCTCACAACGATCCTACCAGGTAGGTACTATTGGTATCCTTCCCTTACAGACGAGAAAATCAGGCACAGAGAGGTTAAGTAACATTCCCAGAGTCACACAGCTGGAGAGAGGCAGAGCAGGGATTTGGGTACAAATGAAAGAATTCCAGAGAGAAACAACAGCGAATAGGAGTCTATCACAAGACTGTCAATTCTACCCCCATTTTAACTTCTTTTTCAGTAAAATGAAAACACATGCACACATCTAAATGTCCATTTCGTACTTATTTTAGATTAATTTCTCAGAACATCTCATCTTTTAGTTTCTTCCTTTGTTAAGTATTTGACAAACTTCAAAGAAATCTCTAGGAAAAGATGCTATGGAAAAGGGCCCTGAGTCCTTCTGTAATGGGAATAATTTCACTCTCTACTTAATGTTTGGAAGTAAGACGTTAAGGACTAATGCTAAGTATTTTGTTTTAATAATGTAAGATATTCTTTCACATCTTTAAAACCCGATAACATAATAGTATAATATCTCCTCAGAAAAGAAGGGCTCATTCTGGCCACTCTGCGTCCTGCGTAAATGCTGGCCGGAGCAGATCTACGTTTTGGGTTTTGTTTGTTTGTTTGTTTGTTTGTTTGTTTGTTTGTTTGTCTTGGTTTGGTTTGTTCGTTTTAAATCTACGTTTTGTATGGAGACTGAAGCTTATACAATCCAAAGGATTCTTCTTTAAGAAAAATAATAAAAATTAAGTTTAGGGCCTTGGAAGAGACTCATGCAGGGGAGGGAGCCTGAAGTTTAAGCTTCACTGTTTCCCAGTCAATCTGTAAATTGGCTTGAGACTGTGACCAATTTATTAGTAGCCAGTGGATGAGAGGAAGAGTGAAATCTAGGAACTAGAATCTCGGGGAAGGGCTGACACTGCTCCTTCCTGGGGTGGGAAGTGTGGTGTGTGTGTGTGTGTGTGTGTGTGTGTGTGTGTGTGTGAGAGAGAGAGAGAGAGAGAGAGAGCGAGCGAGCGAGCGAGCGCACAAGCAGAGGGGCTGGTAGAACAAAGCCCTGAAATGTAGAGCTGATGAACCACAAACAAAATGAAGCATCTCTTCGACCTAGTGTTTAAGTCAGTGTCTGCAAAGAAGAGGGGCCTCCGGACCTATCTGGAGCACAGAGGTGGGATATTCTGTGAGTGAAAAACGAGTATTACTTTTACCTTCAGTTGCCAAAAAAAACCACCTATCTGATTTCTGGAATTTAAGTTGGTGGGTTGGACGTTTCAATCTCATCTGGGACAAAAGAATAAGAAACTGGGTCCCCAGAATGAACATAGCAAGTTCTTTCTTTTCCAGAATTGCAAGACGTGCTATTCTGCTGATAAAGTTTCTGAAAGATGAACCTGAACTTGTCATCGGAAATGTGGAGCTTTTAGATGGTGGACACTATTTCATCTGACACAAAATGGAGGTAATAACAGCAGCTTTTGCTTTGGGTCGTTGTGAAAAATAAACACAATAAAACACGCAAGGGGCTTAGCACTTGGTAAGTGCTCAATAAATGTTCACTTATAAATGAACGAGATAGTCCAGGACTTCTAGAGAAGTCATATCTCTGGGAGAATACTTACCCTGCTAGATCAAGAACATGAATTGCTGGAATGATATTCATTCCATCTCCAAAAACTGGTAATGCAGGGACATCACCCAACCAAGCCAACTAAAGGAAAGAAAAGCGAAAGCACGTTTTCCCTGTTATACGCATGTGACAATTACAACTCACATACAGAGCCATAGTCAGAGGCACCCATGAGATCTATCAGATGAAGTAATCATCAAATGAAGCCTCAAATAGATGTTTTATAAATCAGTTCTGATGAGATTTATCAAATCCTATTAAGATAAATGAAGTGTAACCTCAGGGCTGAAATACTTTTCAAGAAACCTATAATTTCATCAGCTATCTTTAGTCGTCATCTGCATGCTATCGACACAGAAAGAAAATGCTTTCGTATGCATGGTGTCTTTCTCACAAAATTTAAAATTACCCCCTCTAGCTGGGGGTAATTATCACCAGTTCATAGATGGAATGCTTAGTAAAGTATCCTGCAGGACCTTACACTTCGGATGAGTCCTTGAGCCTGGATTTGAACCCTGATCTTCAGACTCTAAATCCATCTTTTTCCCATCATTAACTATTTCAGTAAATAAACAGTCTGGGTATTGTTTATGAATCATGTACTCAGTTATTTTAAATTGTTTTTAAAAAGGTAGAGGTGGAGGCCACAGTAGATCACTGAATCTTGAAAAATATTTTGGACTTTGGGAAACCATTTAAAAGTTTTAAGCACTGACGTGGCATCATCAGATCTGCTTTCCTTGCCTTGAAAAGGAATGATGGGAAGAGTCTAAACGGGGAGATGGAGGCCATGACAGTTGTGCAGACAAGAGATTGTTTAGGTTTACCTGAAAGTGGGGAGTCGGGGGCGTGAGGTTGGAGAGGAGGGAGATATTGAGGAGGTTGGCTTTATAGTACCCAGAGATTTTGTGATGGGTAAGAAAGAGGGGAGAGTTGGGTTCTAGCTGGTACAGCTGGGTGGAAGGTCATCCAATTTTCTGAGCTGGTCCCTGAAGGAGCAGCAGTTTTGGGGTGACTGTAGGAACCGTTTAGATTTCTGAAACATCCAAATTGAGGTGCTGAGTAGGTAGCTGGATCTACAGAGCTAGAACTAAGGAGAGACAGCCCCGCTGGTGACTTATGTTTGAGTCCCTGGCAGCTATCCCGGAAATGAACAGAGCCACGCAGGTAAAGAGCGCGGATGAAGAAGAGGGTCTAGGGCAGGGGCCCGAGAACGCCGTCGTTCAGCGGTCGGGTGGGCAAAGAGCAGCTGAGAATGGACAATGAGAAAGGCCCTTCTTCAGCTTACCCTCGTCGGCTGTCATAACTCTTCTATTAAAAAGTCAAACCAACCAGCCCTCTCTGACTACGCTTCTCCTGGCTCCTGCCTTCTTCCTCTGTCCCACTTGACAGCAACGTTTTTTGAAATACTTCTCTGTTCTCACCATCTCCACTTCCTCTATCCCCGTTTCTTCCCTCTTGAACCTGCTCATATCAGGCGTTTGTCTTACCCCATTCCGAAAAATCCAGAGGTCGAGTCTCAGGTTTCATGTTATTTGAGTATCTGCAGCATTTGACACAGTCGTCATTATCGCTATTTAGAAACACTTTTTTTCACTGGGTGTTTTTGATGGTCCCCTCTTGTTGCCCCCTTACCTCACAGGGCACCCCTTCTCAGATTCCTTTCCTGGTTCCCTCCCATCTCCTTATAGTCTCCAAATATTGGAGTGTTCTGAGTCTCTCCCTTAGACCTCATCTCCATATCTATTCTCTGTGACGTCATCTGGTCCTACGGCTTTAAACACCCCCCATATGGTGGCAGCTCCCAAGATTATGACCACTTCCCTGATCTCCAAACTCACACGTCCAACTCCCTCCTCAGTAACTAGACCGGGATGTCAATCGTATCAAACTTAACATGTCCAAAACTGATCTCCCGAACTTGCCGTGACATACCTCCCTGTGCCCTGCTCCAGTACCCCTTCTCCCCTTCTCAGCAAACAGCAACTCCATATTTCTGGTTACTTAGACCAAAAGCCGTCAAGTCATCCTTTACTTTCTGTCAGCCTTCCTTCTGCCCAAGCTTTGAACCAATCGCATCGACTCCACTCTCAATATATATCCCGAATCTGAACAACCTTCAGTACCTCCATAATTTCCGCCCAGTCTTAGGCACCACCCCTCACCATGGCCTCCCCACTTTGCCCTCACCCCTCTACAGTGCATCCTCAACACAGCAGTGCAGTAGTTAGCTATCCGCTTAAAACTTAAGACAGATTATGCCACTTCTGTGCTCCAAATGGTCTTACAGTCTCACGACCCACTCGAAATAAAAGCCAGCATCCTCGCCAGGGGCCGCGAGGCTAGGCCGCATCCGATTCCTGCATCACCTCTGCCGCTTCGCCGTCTACTGTACTCCGTTCTTCGGAGCACTGGTCTTTCGGCCCTTCCTTAACATCGCCAGCACTTTCCTGCCTCGGTCCTTTGCACTTAGGGTTCCCACTGCCTGGGGCGTTCTTCCCCCGGCGAGCACATGAGTTGGCTCCCTCACGGCCTTTCCCTTTCTGCTCACATGTCACGTCATTGGAAAGGCCTTCCTCAGCCATCACGTATAAGACGTGAGCTCCCAACCCTGGCGCTCCCTCCCTCCCGATCTCTGCTTTGCTGCTCTCCGTTTCCTCTGTCGACGTCTGAAATACCCTGCGTTCACTGGCTGAATTTGTTTCCGATTTATTGCTCTTCTTCTCCACCCCACCAGAACGTAAGCTTCACGAGTACAAATATAATATCACGTTATTCTATTTCAGGATCCGCAATGGTTTCCAGCACATGGCAGGCGCTCCGTCAAAGTTTGTCTCATGAATGAAAGAGATCCATCTTTTTCTTTATTATCCTGAGAGTGGTAAATACAAGTGGCTAATGATGGCAGAGAAAAACAGAAGGTTACGGTCTACACCCCTGTTCCCCTTCACCCTCTGCTACTACACAGGCACAGCCACACCTAGAAGCAATCCAAAATATCTTCAAAGTGGATAACCTTACTGTAAACCATGCTTTAAAAATCCTTGCAGACATCGAAAAGTCATACCTTAAAAAAAGAATGTAAGATACCTCCTTCCATTCCATACTGAAGTCCAGCAGCGACCACGTAAGTCACCAATTTTTTGATCTATTAGGTGAAATACAGGGGAAAAGGCTAAATGTAGTATTACGAATCATATTGAATTAGATTATTTTAGTAGCATTGGAAAAATTTAATGTTTTTATAATAAAGAAATATTACGACCATAGTCCTGCATTTTATACTGTCATTCACATCGATTATTTGTGTCTGTGAACAGTCATTCTCAACCAGTGAATTAAATTTAAATGATCAAAAAATCGTGGATTTTTTTATTTGGGGTAGTGTCCAAAGTTTAATAAAATAATACAGTTATAGGATTCAGAATTGGAAGAAATATAGACCATTTAGTCTAGATCTTTTATTTTACTTATTTAGTTTAACCCCAAAAGTTTAATGGCTTGGCCAAAGTCCTAAATTAATGGATAGAAAGGGGATAGAATTCCTAGTCTCATGTTGTTTCCTTCAGATAGTTTATATTCACAATGTTCATATTGCTACAAGTGAAAAAAAAAGTTTAATAGTAGGACAGAACTTGAACTTGGGGATATTCAAAGTTCCTATTGTAATATCCTCTGAGACCACTAGGTGTCATCTTAGAACTATTATTACTACTACAGCAGGTCTTTCTAATAGGAAGAATGTGGTAGATGGAAACTTTAATGGTTTGAAGGTTCGATATGACTTCTACAAAAGTTCAATAAGAGTGATGATTATAGCACTTAGTTCACAGAATGTTGACGATTACATGTGAAGTACATGAGGATTACAAGAAGCACATGAGGATTTCACGATGTGCCACAGTAAAACATTCAGGACAGCACCCAGCCCATCGTGAGCGAGCCCTCAATATTTTGGGTATTACTATTTATTCATCACCAGGGCATTCTTGTCATCTATTTTGATCAAAGGTAACAGAAATAAAATAATTTCATAATATATATCAAAGGGATAAATTTTGCCGCAGCAGAAGGCTAATGTTGTTTACAGGAACTTCTCAGCTGTAAGTGTGTCTTACTAATCGGCGACCATGGATGTGTCAAGATTAACTCTGTTGAATGATGGAGGTTTAGAGTCGGGGAAAAACAAACAATCAAAACGCAGGCTTTGGCGTCTGACGGATCTGGTTTGAATCTTAGCCCCGCCCCTTGACATCTCTTTCCCACAGTGTCGACGTCTGTGAAATGGTGATAATTGCACGTCCGCAGTGCTGTTGCAGGGGGAGATCGGACAAGGCCATGACGACGCGCAGTAAATCCTAGCTCTGCGACCTTGAGCAAGTTACTTAACCTCTAAACGCGTCCATCTCCTTGTTTGTAAGATGAGGTTAATACCCACTTTTCAGAGTTGTGAGAAACAAATGAGATAGATTCCGGGAAACGGGAGAATGAGGTTCCCCTCCTCGCCCTTCCAGCTCTGAGTCATTTGCCTGTTCTGGGATGAACAACTCTCTGGACCTACCGATGCCTTAGTCGGTAAGCTCTGTTGCGGACCCAAATACAAGGCTTTCCGCTTTTCAGGCTGGACCAGGACCTGGGCCAGGACCTAAGGACAGTGCATCTCAGGGAGAGCGGAAGGAAGTTCAGAAATCTGTGGATGGAAGGACGAGGAAGCCAACTACAGGGATGGTTAGCAAGCTGAGATGATGGACGTAAAGCTCAGGGAACAGACCGGGCCATGTGCATCGTACAGCACCTCAGAAAGAACTTTTCTTACCCCAAACTTTTTCTCCCACTCCAAACTTACATTTTTTCCTAATTTGAGAACCATTTTTTCAGCATTTATGTGGTCCAGAAAATTAGGGTGGTGCTTTCTTCTTCGATAATCCTCTTCAGTAAATGGAATCTCAGAATCATCCTGTGAAAGAAAACAGGCCAAACCCGATATGTTAGAGCTATGAAAAACTTCTAAGCCCGGAGACGCTGGGTCGACCCTGTTCATTTAAGTTTAAATAAATTTTAGAACATTTAAGTGTTCCTAAAACTACTGTTTATTTTTATAGTGATTTAGTTTAGTTTTTTTTTTTTGGAAATGTTTCACTAGCCAAATTTATCACTTAACCTTAATCTAAACAAAATTAAAAATCTAATGTCTTCTTTTATTTTGTAGGGAGAGTGCCAGGTTGTCACTGGGGTTCCAAATGGTCATTCAATAGCCCATTTCTTAATAGTTCTTGCCATGTATGCGGTTTCATTTTTAAAATCTAAGTTGGGATTTTTTCCCCTCTCTTTTCCACACTGCCCCTTTTCCTCAGATCGATCCCATGATAATAAGAACATATCACATGCAAATTTCTGTCTCAGGCTTTAAAAACTGCTTCCATCAGATTAGATGAAATATTGGTTTGCCTGAGAATCAGGGATGAAAAATATTTCTCGACAGTCCATGGAGCTGTCTGTCACACTCCGTCTCCATGACTCACCCTCCTATGCTGTCCCATAGAGAGAAGCATCCAGAACAACTCAATTAAAACTGAAGAATGAAAGGGAGATATTAAGTTCCATGATACAGAGTGACTTCTCCTAGATCCAACCAGATTTAGAGGTCCTACCTGGAGTAGGATTTTAAAAAATATAGTGTTCAATAAGGAGCCTTTCGATCACATCCATTGGTCTAGTTAAATAACCAAACTGGAGCATTTGAGTCCAAGGCTTATAGGAAATTAATCAGAGAGGCAGATTTAGAAACACAGGCATGAGGTCCCTGAAGTAGCACAATTGTTGGCTAGTTTGAAAAATGGGAAGAAGAGACCAAATGATTGGAGCCAAGCTGAGAACTGGTAGGGAAGGGATGAGGTAGGCGATAGCCAGGTTATCAGGGCTTGTGGACCATGTGGAGTTTAGGCTTATTCTAAGAGCATTAGAAGGCATTGAAGGATTTTAAGCATTTTAAGCAGAACTGTAACATGATCTGGGTTTTATGTGAACAAGGCCACTTAGACTGTTTCTTGGATATCGATTTAAGAAGGTAAAGGCAGGCACCAGCCACATAGCCATTTTGGTAGTCCATCAAAACAAAGACAATAAGATGGATTTGTGATACATTCTAGATGATGAATGAACAGAATTTACTGATGGAACTGGCTAGATTGAGCAACTGAAATGATGATGATGCCACTGGAAGAGAGACTGGGGGACAATTCGCTTTTGAGGGGAGACCAAGTTAACCCACCTCAATTCTTTATCCATAGCAAACACTCCATGAATACATGTTACCTAATTAGCTCACCCCTTAAATATGCCCAGTGGCTCATATGTAGGGTTACCAGATAAAACAAAGGACACTCAGCTAAATTTGAATTTTGGATAAACAAATAATTTTTAGTATAAGTCTTAAATATCACATGGGATATATTTATGCTAAAAATTATTTGCTGTTTATCTGAAATTCAAATTTAACTGAGTGTCCTGTATTTGTATTTGCTAAATCTGCGAATTCTACTCACAGAGTCTGGAAACAAGTCTAGTCAGTTTCGCCTTTGAACTGAGTTGCACCCTGCCATCCCCATAGCCCTGGCTAACATGACAGGGTGGCCAGCCTGCTCTCTGTGACTGGCTGCCCAGAACCCCTCTTCTGGGATTTGCCCCCACCTTAGCTTTTCCTCTGGATAAAGCCAATTCGCTAATACAGATGATCATTCGAATCACTAGATGAATCTAGGCCCGACCATGTGTGACAAATGGCGTTGTCCAGTCCTCCGACTCGGAAGGAGTTATTGTTGATCAAGCCCGTGTCGGCTTGGACCTGCTCGGCTATATAAAAGGGCGGGATTCTTGGTGGATTGCCTGTGACGTGCATGGCATTCTGGTTTAATGCTTCTTCAATAGTGAAGGTGTTTTCTCTCTCTACTACCTTGTGGAGAGGTTTTCTGGGTTGGGGGAAGATTTTGTTTTTAATTCAATTTCCCCAACAGTATACCCGTGTAGTTTTTTCTCTGAATCATTTGAGAATACTTTGCAAACATCCTACCCCTTTTCACTTTAATGTTCAGTGTATATTTCCTAAGGACATTCTCCTGCATAACTATAGTACGGTTATGAAATTTAGGAAATTTAATTCGATAAGATAATTTTATCCAATCTACAGTCCACGCTCCAGTTTGTCAGCTGTCCCAATACTGTCCTTTATAATATTTTCCCCTCCAGCATAGGGCCCAGTCCAGGCTCTCGTGCTGCACTGAATTGTCACGTCTCTTTAGTGTTCCTTACCTGAAACGGCGTTTCAGCTTTCTTTGTCTTTTATTGCCGTTTTTTAGGAACATAGGCCATTTATTTAATCAAATGCCCTTCGATTTGGGTTTAGGTGAGGTTTCCACATAGCAAATCGTGTCTCCCCTGTATTCTCATCTACTTCCTTATCCCCTGGGATTATTTTGAAGCAAATCTCAGATATAGTATCATTTCATTCATAAATACTTTATTAATTTTATTGCAGTTGAATTTATCAAGCTTTTAAAAAATATTCAGCATGACTGGGCCTTGTAAAGAAATCCTTCCCTATGAATTCTATAATTTTCTTAAAAACTAAAGTTTTCACTTTTAATTATATGAGCCGTCTGGAACTGACTTTTTGTGTGGTGTGAGATAGAGAATTTTAGGGGGCTATGGAAATGTCCCGTGTATTGATTGCTGTGGGGCTTAAGCAACTGTATGCGTTTTTCAAAACTCATAGAACTATACAGTATTAAGTGATCATTTTACCCTATGTCAATTATACCTCAATAAACTTGACTTAAAATCATCACAGGCCATTTTAAGGAAATGCAAGTTAAAACCACAGTGAGAGGATGGGGACATGCCATAAGGACACGGGAGCTAACATAAGAGCCATTTCCCACCATTTTCTTCAGGAACCATCTCTTCTCCACTCCCAGCCCAGCTAGTTTAGGGGGCTGATCATCTTTGCCTCTGGAAGTGGGAATGTGATCCCAGGTCTGACCAATCAGCGCTCTGTATTCCCCTGGTGACTGGTTCGAGATTAGGCCCGTGACCTACGACCTGGACAAACAGCATAGCCCAGTCCTGGGATGGGACATGGCCAAAGCAGAAAAGAGAAATGGAGCTCTAGGCAGGTAAGCCTGGGAGCTGCTGCTGGGGGCCAGAAGGAGGGGAGCATTTCCCTGAGAACGAGGCCTACTCAGGAGAAAAGAGGCGAGAGAAGAGAGAAAGAAGGTAGCCGAGCTCTGAGGACGTTGTCTAAGTCTCTAGATCCAGCTGTGCCCAGAGTCCATTATTTGACCTACCAATTATGAAGTCCGTAAGTTCTCATTTTGCTTCAGTCAGTACAAGTTAGTACAAGTTATAACTGAGCGACTGGGGAAAATCGATCAGGCCAGCACAATGGTCAGCCAGTCAAGTGACCAATGATTGTTAGGTAGCAGACACTTTACTAGATACTCCGAGGGAAGGAAACATAACAGGAGTGACATGACTGGCCTGCTCCTTGAGGTGATGGCAAGCAAACGGAGTAGGTAAGTGAACTTTACAAGAAACAGAACAGGAAACTTGGTCTCTGCCCTCAAGGGTTTCCTGGTCCGCCAAGGGAGAGGGGATTAAACAAACGAATGTCATTTGCTGCAATAAGTGTGATAAATCCCTAAATGATTCCTTGTTGTAAATAATGTATTCCATTGATTCTAAACGTGCATCATTTTAACTTCTCTGAAATTAAATGTGTCTTGTGATTAATGGCCTATTACAACTGCCAGGGAGGAAGCATTGATGCTTGGCGCCTGGATGACCTTGAGCATGACGGTTCCTATTGTCATCCCTTCCAACTGAGTTAGGTACTACAGATGTTGATCTAATTACCTTTTTAAATATCTGAAAAGATGATACTGTGTTTCGGCACCGAAGTGAAAGGTAGTTCATAGGCACGAAGGTGGTGGAACAGAGCAGCAAAAATAAGTCTGATACTAATGAAAAAAGCATCGCTGGAGGAATGACTCCAAGTCCACAGTTTCTTGCAAAGTCATAACCACGTGTTATAGGAAAGGAAATACAATATACGGCATGACTCAGGTTTGATACTGAGTCATTTTGTGGAAACAGAATGCAGATGCGATTAAGAGAAGTTGGACTCTGAATATGAACAAGTTTGGGGATCCTATAACCACTGTATTTTGCTTATATATTCCTCAATGTATGCATAAGAATGTATATGACAAGAATATAGGCTTATATAAGTCTAAAAGAGAGCTCTTTCAAACCATTTAAATCAAAAGGTATGCGTGATAAGCAAGCATTTTTATAGTTAACAGGCAGCACATAAAACGATGGGGCCCCTTTGAATTGAGTGAGCTTAGAGCCAGAGCTTAGAGCTTAGAGTTTAGTGCTGACTATGGCATAGAGTTCAGGAGAGTAAGAATACAGAATCCACCGCAGCGAGTTCTCTCTGCACAGATTACCGAGGGTGAAATGTTGCATAAAGGACAAGCCGGTACACTTACGGGGTCCAGGGATTTGGAACGCGCCCAGGTCATCACCGTCGAAATTAAAATAAACATCTTCCGCTTCTCGATATGGCTGACTTCTTCATTCAGTGCTGTAGGGCCAAAAAGCCAGTGGTTATTTGGATTCCTGCAACACGTGTTTTCAAAGTCACGTGCTGTTAGCGGGACTTGAAGTTACTCCTTTTTCCAGGAGCGACTTAACACCAGGATGGCCACCCCGCCCCTCCCCCGAGGCTTCACTGCCCAGGCCCCATTGTCATTCTCGGCTCTCTCCCTCCAGCTGCCTGAAGCTTCTGAGCCCAGCTGAAGATTTGAGCCCCCTTCCTAGTCTGGCCTGCAGCCCTGTGCGTTCGCTTTTTTGGAGGGCCAGTGATAGTAATAAATATAGCGGCATGGACCAGTACTATTCACGGGCTTCGTTGAATTCTCACCATTACGAGACAGGACCTACTCTGCTCTCTGTTTTACAGATGAGGGAACAGAGGCACAATTTGTCCAGGGCCATGGAAGGTAGTGGTGGGGTGCAGGGTGCAGGCCGAGCAGTCTGGTTGTACTGAGCTGTAGGACCAGCTGCATGGAGACTGGAGGAGGTGGTTCCATCGAGGTTGGGGAATGGGGATTAGGGCCCCAAATCAGCAGGTAAGGCCCTCTGATGACCTCCCCTAAAGTAGCCCTATGTAGCCTAAGCCACTGTGGAAGGAAGTAATTTGGGGACTGCACATCCTTCAGGCCCTGGGCGGAGGGCGGGGTGGGGACAGCGGCCAGGGATCTGAGGGCCATGGGTGGGGTGTGGACGGCCTTGGCTAGGCGGGAAGGCTCCGTTATGAGCAAAGATTGTGGACACCGAGCAGGGGTCGGAATTTAGAACAGTGCTGGACGGAAGGGCGAGGATTTGATTTCCAAAGGGTTTGTCACTTTCCAGGAGGTCCCTCCAGACACCCTAGCACCGAATCTCCCGGAATGCTTTCGGCATGTGATTCCACTCAAATATTTTTCATGACGTATAATTTTCCAGGAAAAAAAAAAATTCCGAAGCGAAGTCTGATTCTAATTATCAGGAGAAATAAGTGACACAGTTGTCAGAGAACATGTTCAGTCTCAGGAGCTGATTCCTGACGACAAGCAAAACAATAAAATGCTGGTATCCCGAATGTAATAAACACGTGGATCCTGACCAGAAGATGAGGAAGCGTTATTGAATTAAGTCGGGGAGCACTATGTCCACACATTAATCCCGACGCAAATGTTAATTTTGGTTTCTGTTTTTATTCTATTAACAAAAATGGCCTTTTCAATTAATTTTGCTCCATGGCCCTTTCCGCTCTGTGGTATTTCGGACTGGCCTCTTTTGCAAACGTTGGCACTGTTAGAGGTCCCCTATCTGGGTTATCCATTTCTATTTATGATCATTTTAATGGGTCTAACGTGATCCGCTTATTCACTTGTGAACAAGCCCATTTTATCCGTATACGCAAATTTCCTCTCATTTCTAATACTTTCTTCCTTCCTACTATGTCATTTTGCCTTCCTTTGATGCTGTCTGTGAAAGGCAAGGTAGGAGAATTCTTTTCTATTAAACTATTTTAAAATAATTGAATAAAATATTACTAAGAAGTAATATGTACCCATCACAAAACCAAACCAAAACAAAACGCCAAAATCTAAGAATGTGTATCAGATAAAATGACACAGTTCCCACCACTGTCCTCCATAACCTCACCAACCCCATGTCCCCCGGTGACGCTGATGACAGACCAAGGGCTTCTGATTATACTTGCTTGGAGGCATAAATGCTCTATATCTCAAAAATGGGGTAATACAGTTAAAAGCTTTCCACCGAATAGAGTAATATTTTCTTAATTATATAAGGCTTTTTATCAGAATGAAGAAGGAAGTAGTAAAACATACTCTGTCTTTGAAAGCTCGTTAAAGGAAATGGAGTATTGATAACATTCCCTTGAGAGGCACTAGGGCTGAGGGGTGAAGCTCGACTGTCTCAGCGGGAAGTCAATGGTTAATGACAAAAAATTCACAATCAAGGGATATCGGTGCAGGTGTTTTTATGTATTAAAAGGAACAAGTAGGTCGAATGAGGTTCCTTTTGTGGATTGGGGACAGGATGGAAAAGAAAGGCAGGTAGTTGTTGCTTTTTATTCTAAGCTCTACTATGCTTTTTAATTTTCGAAACACGTCCAGGTTTTATTTCAGAAAAAGTATTAAAAATTTAAGAAAATTGCAAATATACATTATGTAGAAATATCAATTTCAAAAAAGCCTGGCACAAAATAAGAACTCAGTAAACATTAGCTCTGATTATTATTTTAGGTGGTGCAATTATTTTAGAAGGTGCAATTATATATCATCTGTAAATGTCTGCAGAGGGACAAAATGCACGAAGCCGGCTTTAGAAGAGCTCTGTTCCAAAAGATGGCACAATGTTTATGTTGCTGATTCGTAGCTTATTGAATGACATCTAGGCCCAAAGTTACAAATGAGAAATCAACTATTCTAAGCTCCCAAGGAGTCCCTCGCACCCACAGACAGTACTTTTCCATCATGATTTCCCTGAATGTGGTACAGTCATTCCCGAGGCTCCATTCCAAGGATCCTGAGGCTCCATTCTAAGGATCCCTAGCCTCTGGGCTGTGGATCAGCACTGGTCTGAGGCCTGCTGGTGGTGGCCTGCTAGGAACTGGGCCGCATGGCAGGAGGTAAGCGGTAGGCCAGCCGGCGAAGCTTCATCTGTATTCGCAGCCGCTCCCCAACGCTAGCATCACAGTCTCAGCTCCACTTCAGACCATCAGGCATTAGATTCTCATAGGAGCACCGGTCCCTGGGCCACAAAGGTTGGGGACCGCTGCTCTATTCCACTTCTTTGGATTTGAGCCAAAATCTGGCTTTGCTGTTGATCTTATTCCGAGGTTGTTAAAGTACTGCCTGACTTTTCAATAAAGTTTTATTGGAACAAGACCATTCATTTACACTTCATCTACGGCTGTGACAATGGCAGAGCAGCTGGATCAAAAAGACAAAAGTATTTATTATCTGGCCCTTTACAGAAAAAGCCTGCTGACCCCTGATCTAATCTTCCTAAAATAAAGATACTAAAGCATAAAAAATATTGAAATGTAGGGTGCTATGTGTCTTTCAGGCTACCCTCCTGGTCCAGAAATAATGATTCAAATAAGCTGATCTGCTTTCTCCTTGGCTTCTAACTTAATGAGGAGATGGATCACAAAGCACCAAATTGCTAAACATCACCTTGTTCTCTGAGACCCGAGGTCCTCACAGTTCGCAATGGTTTTCAAAACATTTTAAAGCTGCAGATATTCCCCACAAGCCCTCCCTGACCCCTGCTATCAGAGAACACTTGTTGGCTCGAATTGAAATCCTCACAGTTAGAAATGGTTCCTCTCATCTTAAAGTCACATCTCTCCTGTGACACTTTCCTTGTGACTGTGCTATTCTCTTCCCTGCATTAAAGTCTCTCATGTGCACCTTGGCTGTCTTGCAGGCCTCCAGGTGCCTGGAGGGCATAATCTTTTTCTTATTTGTCTTTGTACCCTCCCAATACATTTATTCCGCAGTGCCTGCAGAATGAATAAAGGTCGAATTTTGGAAGTTAATGTTTCCTTTATTTTAAGGATTAAAAACATTCTATTCCTCAGAAGCACCCACTGTTAATTAAACAAAGAGGCCATTAGACTCAGGTAATTCTAATACCTTCCCAGCCCACATCAGCAAATGACAGCTTAAGCCTGTAAATGCCTCAAGGTTAAGAAATCAAAACCTAAGGACATGGGAGGGGGTTGGAGGGGGAGTGAAAAGGGGAAGGGATTAAGAAATACGTTGGTAGTTATACAATAGTCACGGGGATATAAAGTACAGTATAAGAAATATAGTCAATGACATTGTAATAACTTTGCATGGTGTCAGGTGGGTACTAGACTTATTGGAGCAATCACTTCAGAAGGTATATAAATGTCTAACCACTATGCTGTACACCTGAAACTAATATAATATTATATGCCAACTGTAATTGAAAAATAAAAATAATGATTAAATGTTAAAAAAAAACAACAAAACCCTAAGGACAATCAATCACAAACAGCCAACTAGGCTCTTCCAAATAAGGTAAATGCTTAAGCAATAGCCAATCAAATTGCTTCTTTGCTTTGCTTCTGGCTTTTCTCTATAAAAGTCTTTCCCCTGGCTCCTGTAGATGGTGCACTCCTAACCACTTTCGATTTGGCACAGCCCAATTTCAACTGATTTTTGCTCAGATAAACTCTTAAAATTTTTTTAATATGCCTCAGTTTATCTTTTAATAGTATTCACAAGTCTATTTATTAGCCTGATTTCATGTTTTAGGTAAATATCAGGTCATTTTTTTCCACGGTCCTAATTTGCCATGTGTTCATTAGATGAATCTTAGGTAAATTACACAAAGGTAGTGTCCTGGAGCGTAAAGGGCGTATCTCACTGACCAGAGACTGCCCAGATGGCTTCCTCCACTTGCTGAGGGTTCTCGCTGATGTTATAAATAATAATGTCACACTCCAGCAGTCGCATGAGAAGGTCTTCTCGAGAGATGGCCTGAAAAAGAGAATTGATGATCATTCGTTCGAGAAGCCAACAAAGTAACCTTAGTATTTAGACAGAATGACAATTTCCAAATTAGATTTGCTGCACTGAAGAGTCCCACAGAAAAAAATTGCAGGAGGAGATTTCTATTTAAAATGAAATTTTGGCTCTCTTCTGTGTATGGTTTTCAAATAACAAAGAAGTTTATGAAAATAGCTGGGAACAGATGATTTAAAAAAATGGCATAATGATCCTAGGTACTATTTCGGCATGCTGTTTACACCCCAATTCAGAAGGGAAGAATTAGAACACACTGGAAGAAAATGTGGGAGGCATTTAAAACTAACTCAAACTCTATGCAAGATTATTTGAACAATTAGATATCATGAATCACTTAGATGTGCTGATGAGTGATTTATGTCTATTGTTTCAGAAGTCTCAAGATGGAATTAATCTGTTCTCTTTGTAGATGTAAGGTATCTTATTACAGTTGACAGTTGGGAATACTTAAAAAAAAACTTTTAATGGTTAAAAATATAAAGTTCTTACATTAGGCAAAAGTTAACTGTGGTGATCATTGTGTTTTAACTTATTCCTTGCTGTGTGGATGCCAGCACATTTTCCAATAGTGCAATACCGTGGGTGGGTATAAAGATAACCACACAAGGACTCTGCATCTGCAAACCAGTATTTGCATTTGTCTTGAGGATCAGATGTTCCCCACCGATCCTTGACCGGTTGCATCAAAACGAACTTGGTCTCTTAGCACAGTATGTTGGAGAACGAAAGAAAAGCGGGTGCCTTTTCTAATCCTAGAGGGTTTCTCTGGTGGGGTTAATGCATCCATGTCAAATTCAAGAGCATGGACTGCTAATTTCTCCAGCTCATTCTCTAAGTCCTTTCGCACCAACTGTATTAGTTTCCTGGGGCTGCTGTAACTAAGTACCACAAACTGAGTGGCTTGAACGACAGAAATTGATGTCTCTGGAGCCTAAAAGTCCAAGGTCAAGGTGTCAGTAGGGTTGGTTCCTTCTGAGGCTGTGAGGGAGATTGCGCTCCATGCCTCTCTCCTGTCTTCTGGTGGCTTCCTGGCAAATCAGATCTCTGCCTTCCTCTTCACATGACATTCTCCCTGTGTGACATCTGGGTCCAGATCCCCTCTTTTGATTGGCATTCCAGTCACATTGGATTAGGAGACCACCCAAATGACCTCCTTTTAACTCGATTTCCTCTGTTAAAGACCCTGTCTCCAAATAAAGTCACGTTCTGAGATTCTGGGGGTCAGGACTTCAACAGATTTTTTTGTGTGTGTTGGCGGGGGACTCAACTGAACCCATAAAACCGTCGACTCAATTTCTTTTCCAGACTGAATGTGCAGAAGACACTCTGAAAATGTGGATCCAAAGGTAGACTTTTACCTTGTCAAAAGCGTGACAGTGCGAGAGGACAGTGCCCTCCTGATACGCTCAGGACGGATCTAGGTTCAGGAGGGACCCATGAAAGAAAGGAAGAAGGAACACTGGAGACACCCAGATGCGTGCTCCCGATGCGGCCCACGGCAAAGCAGAAAAAACATCTGAGCCGGGCCTGTGAAAGCGCGTGCGTGGGGGCCAGCGAGGAACACGCGTGCTGGTTAAATCATGGCTGGGTCGAGTTAGGATGAAACAGGCACATTTTCAAGAGCACAGGTGTCCTGACCAGATGTTGAGCGACCACGTGCATGCATTCATTTGTTCATCCAACAAACATTTGTGGGCCCTGTTTTAAACCCAAAGATAGAGGCAAAAATACCATATGGTTGCTAATAGTAAGGAGCAGTATGTGTGTGTGTGTGTGTGTGTGTGTGTGTGTGTGTGTGTGTGTGTGTGTGTTGTTGGGAAAACTTTTAGCAAATAATTATAGTCTAATGTAGACAAGGACACAACTAAGCGCATATGAAGCCCTTGTACAAATTAGAAAAAGCTAGCCTGCTCTTGGTGGAAAAATTATACGAAGGCATCTACTCTGCGGCGTACTGTAGCCGGCAGAACGGGCTGCTTTTCAGGCCCTACTCATGCCCTTAGCCGGGCCCCCTTGTGCAGTGTACAACCTGTACAGCCTTACATGGCAGCCTCCAGTGAGGAAAGCGCTATCCTAAAGGTACATTTGAGATTGGATGGACCTGAAGGGATATGTGGTTATGGTTTGCAGGAGTTGAAATTTCAGCAGAGCCTGGGTTGCTGAGCCCAGTGGAGGCGCCTTTCAGAGCCTGGAGCAGCTGAATGTTGTCCATGCTCCACTCTCTCGCTCTTCCCCGTGGCTCTGACTCTACTGATGCTGTTTCAAAGCATGCCGCACGCTTCCCCAGGTGTCCCCTCGCGTGGCATTTCCTTGCTCCCTTATCGGCCTGGCAAGCTCTACTCCACCCTAGAGGCCCAGCCTCAGCCCCTGCTTCTCTGGTAGACGCCAGCCTCCCAAAAGAGGGCCATCTGCGGGGACTCTGTACTGCTGGAGGCTCGAGGACTCCAGAGCAGTGGACCTTCGGCGGCCTCGATCTGTGGGCGGGGGCGGGATTTGAGGCCCCATTTGCTTGGCTCTACAGAGAAGTCACAACTCAGCAACCACACTTTCGGAGCGCTCTGGGTGCGGCCGTGTGCGCCCCTCTGCCGTGATGTTCACTATGCTGCTGGGGTGCTAATCGTCTACATCAGAATCCCTGCTAGGCTGGGAGCTCTGTGTTCACCTGTGGCTCCTCAGGGGATTCAGATCCAGGTGTAAATGGAGAGAGATGATGGAGATCTGAACTAATGGACATAGCTCTGAGAAAGGACGCACCCCGCAGAAAGCTGTTAAAGAGACAGGTCGAGGACCCCATGACCAGGAGGTGGGGGCAGCCAGGAGCCACGGTGACACCAGGCTTTTAACTGTGGTGGGGGGAATGCGTGGTGCATGTTGGTTGTCTACAAACTTCTGTTTGCTCTTTCTCATTTTTAGCAAAACCCCGATTTTGTTCGGACGCTCCCCTTCTCACCTTGTGGGAAACCAGCTCCTTCCTCTAGCTCAAGGGAGGAGCCTTATTGATCTAAGGGTCAGTGATTGGCTTAGGAGTGAGCATGTGACTTAATTTAAGACAGGGAGGTTCAAGGAGATGTTCGCGGAGTGCTGCTGGAATGTTCGTCCTCCTTTCCGAGACTTTCGGGAAGTTCCCTTCGCCAGGTGTTGCTGTGTATGAATGTAAGGCCCTGGACTATTGCAGCCTTGCTGGCAGCCTGAGCATGAAGTCAACCCCAGAGGAAAGCAGAGCCCAGAAAGGGGCAGGAAGAGGAGCCGCAGCCCCTGGATCAAGCCAGCCCTGAAGCTTCATCTTCTAGCCACATGCGCCGAAGAATTTCCTTATTAAGCCAGTTTGCATTGACCTTTTTCTATTCCTTGCAGCCCCTCAAACCTAAACTGACACAGGCATCAAGGGCCTTAATAAAAATTATAAGTACGGACGGCAGAGTGGATTTGTAGAGGTATGTAAACAAATTTAATTTGGAGTATATTGATTTAGAAGTGCCTGTGAGACATCTGGAGGCGTGGGCTAGGAGTCACTTAGATCTTTGGGTCAACAGAGCTGGAGACAAATTTGAAAGGCGTTGGCAGTGGGGGAGCTGAAACCATAGGACTGGGAAGCGTTTAAGAAGGTTACCCATTATGAGAGGGAGGAGCTCTGGGAAAACCACAGTAAGGAAGGGCTGGGAAGAGGAGAAGGAGCCAGTGAAAGGACCCGAGAAGGCGGGCTTGGCCGTGTAAGGGGAGCCGGGGTGTGGCAGCTGCAGCAGGAGGGAAGCCAGCTAAGATAGGCCCCTGGGAATTAGGGGTTCATGGTGTCACTGAAATGGTGGGGACCGAGCCTGCTGGCACTGGACAGACCAGGGACTGGGGAGCACAGGAGCGAGTCCTGCCAAAGTGGCTGAGCCCTTCCTGAAGTTCAGTGGTGGCCAGGGCCAGGGACAGAGAAAGGCTGGTGGCTATCGGGGGGGCCAAATTAAGTGTGCGTGGTTTTTTGTTTGCTTCTGTAGTGGGGGAGATCTGAGCATATGTATAGGTGGAAAGAAAGAAGCCAGCGATGACTGAAGATCCAGAAGAGTGGGAAAGGGCGTAAGTGGTGAAGACAGTTCCCAAAGATGGCAAGAGAGGACTCATTCATTCAATTTGCACATATTTATTGAGGACCGCTTTCTGCCAGTTGCTGTGCTAGGTGAGGCACAGTCTCTACCCTCAAGGAGCTGATATAGTCAGTGAGACTCACAACAGATAGATAATAATAGAATGTGAAAAGTGTTATGACCTATGCAGGAAAAGGATGCTACGGTTGTTCCAGAAGAGAGCTCAGGATCCAAACTGGGAGTAGGGAAGTAGGAATCATGGAGGGATTCCTGGAGGAGATGGCACCCTGAGTTAAGTCTTGAAGGACGAATAGGGCTGGTTGAAGGAGGGAAGAGGGAAGACCGTTCCAGGGTACAGCATATCCAAAGCTGTGTGGTAGGGCCTGGGGAGTATCAGGCAGGATGATGGGAGGAGGTAGTCGGGGAGGAACACCCCTCCTGGATGTATGTATGTATGCATGTATGTATGTACTTATTTTGAGTGTTTACTATGTACTAACCTCCTGGAGGTATTTAAATGTCTCAGGATGAGGATCGCATGGAATTTTCCGCTGGGAGGCAGCACTGTTTCTCAGTAAAACAGGAGTATAACAGCTTATTGTTCCTGAGTGGCTTACTACGGAAGGAGGTTTCTCTTTCACAGACAGTGTTCACTGTGGCCAAGGGTTATGTTGGAGTGATACAGGGCAGAAAATATTTTAAATACAACATATATATAGAGAGAAGTTTAGGAGTCTGAAAGTCCAGATTACATTCATACTTTCCAAAAATATCTTATTTAAATTCTTTGCTTCGGGTAAACCTTTAAGGTGGAGGCAATGGATGTTAATGTCCCTTACAGGACAAAGAGCTGCCCTCACCTTGCCCCTCACCTTCTCCCAGCCACACGTTTGCGGGAGAGAGGGAATGAGAAGCAAAGAGTAAGACGTATGGCGAGGGTGCTGGAGTGGAGGGAGACTCTTCCTTTGGGACTTACTCTGTAGGTCTCCACGGCAAAGTCAGGCTCAGGTTCTCTGGGCGGCGTGGAAAGCGTGCCCACCACCTGGAACGTGCCTTCCTTCAGTCTGGGTGAGGAGGCTTCCGGCATCATCGACTTATTTTCATCTTCCTCCTCCTCTTCTTCTGTAATTTCTTCAAGTGAAGCTCCGACTACACAGTTTGAGAGAAACTGCAAGACAACAGACATTTTCCAAATACTAAGGACAACTCGGAGTAAGGGCTGCCCATGAATGATGATTCTAAAAACTCACCTTTAGTGAGGGCTTGCTAGAGGTGCCACATATGAAAATGCAAGACATTCTTTCGAATTAGCATCACCAGGGATAGCTAATGGATAACTTGGCTTATTTGCACCCATAGAAATTCCTTCCTTGACTTCTTAACACCCACAGAAATTCCATTTTTCTATTCATGTAATTATTCCTCTTCCCTTTCTCATAAGAACCCCTTGCCTCCACCTTCTAATTAGAACACTGTTTGGGTTTCTGCCTGAATCAGTGCTTCCTGAATAGCTATTCTTTTTGGATCTCAAATAAATGCTCGTTGCCTCTCACCTTGGCCTTTTACTTTTAGGTTAACAGCAAGTACTTGGAATTTGAGAAAGAGAGGTCCTGGTTAGCCAAGGAACAAGTGGAACATTCTGTTATCGTTAGGCTTTTGAAACATATCTCTACAAACTAAAAGTTTTATTCTAAAGATATTAAAAAATAATCTGAGATCAAAACGGGAGAAAAGTAAAAAGTTATATCTGCTTCCTTCTGTCTCTCCTCATGCCAATCATGCCACCTGCCTTTCAAATACTCTGATGGCTTTCACTGGATTAGAATATAAGCCAAACTCCTGATCCCACGCGACCTGGGCCTTTGTGCTTGACTCGCCTTCGTTAACTGATGCCACGAACATCGGAGTCCTGACCACGCGTGAGGCATCGGTTGCTGAGCAGGGCCACATTCTGACATTCATGGTCTCTTTTCTCCATACCAAAAATATTAAAAATCACATTGCACAACTGTGTTGATATGAAGACAAACAATCCTTGACCCTCAAATTTCATTTGCTTCCTTCTGATGCTCAAAGAAAACAAAAACATCTTTGTGGACCCCAAAGCCTCGTGGGCCCCGGGCACTGTGACTTCAATGCTCCAGCGAAGTCAGCCCTGGGTCCCTGGGTCACTGCACACCTGCCACTCTGTCTTCTGAGAATGCCAACCTGGTTCCCACTGCAGAACTTTTGCCCCGGCTGTGCCCCCTGAGAACAAGGTGCTCTGGCTTGATCCTCGGCCTGTGTATGTCAGATTAAACATCATCCTTCACGAACGCCCTGTCGTGTACTTCTGTTTAAAACAGCTCTTCTCTTCCATCAGCCAACATTTTATGCCCTCTCTCCTTCAGAGTACTTATCACACATTGATAGCTCTGATTTATTCTAAAAATCATTTACTGTTTGTCTTTTTCCAGGAGGGGCAGAGTTCTTGGGGGCAGTAACCTTTTTTGGTCTTATTCACTGCATAGTTCTCTGTGCTTGTGAATGAGTCCCATCCTCCAGAGGCGATAACAGTTGAATTTCTTGTGTACCCTGAGATGTTTTCTGTCTATAGATGATCTGTCTACCTATCTGTCTTCTCTACATCTCTATCTTTTTGAAAGACACAAATAAGTTTATACCACACCTTTTTTTATGCTTTTCTTTAAAAAAAATTTTTTTTTGTTACTATATTGGTTTAATTTTATTTGTCCTTGTCTCTTCTTCCCCCTTTCCTGGTAATGTGTTTTTAGTTCCTTTTGTAGATATATCATATATAATACATATAATATCACATGTATTGTTTATCATATATAATTACATACCATATCAAAATATACAACTTTATATATAAATTATATAGCAAAATCCACATTTTTTGACTGATCAACTTTAGATGATATACTGAGTTGAACAGTGTCCCTCCCCCCAGATTCCCGTCCACTTGGAAAGTGTGACTCTGACCATATTGATCTTTGCTGATGTCATCGGGTTAAGTGAAGTTATACTGGATTAGGGTGGATTCTATCCAATGACTGGTGTCCTTATAAAAGGAGGAAAATTTGGGCACAGAGACGGTCCAGAGAGAACAGCATGTGAAGACAGAGGCAGAGATTGAAGTGTAGTCTACGAGCCATGGGCTGGCAAGGATTGCTGGCAGCCACCAGAAGCTAAGAGAGAAGCATGAAACTTTCTCCCCTAGAGCCTCCAGCAAGAACAAGCCCGCTGACAGACCTCTGGCCTGCGGACCTGGGAGAGAATAAATTCCGTTGTTTTAAGCCACCCGGTTTGTGGAAATTTGTTACCACAGCCCTAGAAAAGGGAAATGATAAAAATCATGGCTTCCTCTCCCCCACCGCCTCCCGCCCACCACTGAGCATTTTAAAATGAAGGGCCCTAGGGTCCTTTTTCAGAATATCTTAATTTCCCAAGGCTAAAGATGGAGAAGGGTGGGCAAGCTTAGTGGCACTCTGGCCCCAAACAGTGCCTGGCCCGTAACATGCTCAAACCGTATGTCGAAGGGATGGCTGAATGAATCACTCACGGTGGGTGGTAAAACCATTGGACTTAACTTTTTTATCAGTTGCCTGCTTCAGATGCGGAGGCGGAGTGGAAAGAGAACCCAGTCAGAAGGCCAAAGACCTGGGCAATATTTCCAAGTCCTGACTCTGGGGTCGCTATGTGATCTCAGCGGAGGGTCCCTTCCTTCCTCTGAGCCTGTGTCCCCTCATTAACAGGGGAGGGCGCGAGGCTGCCTAGCTAATGCCAAACATCTGGGCTTCCAGGTGGGGCGCTTGTCTGGCCTGGATGCAGACTGGGGTTTTGCGGGGCATTGACCGTGCCCAGGACGAGGGACCTTCTCTTAGGAGAGGCCCTGACAGCGCCCATGGTTCAGTTCGGGGACCTGGGGCTGGGGACTGGGAGCTGGGGGTTGGGAGTCTTGCTCTGACCCGCTGCCGCTCACCTTCCCGATGTTTCTGCTGCTGTATGAGTCCAGAAGGTTTATAAACACCCTCTGGATCCGCATAACTTTCTCCGTCCGGGCAACAACTTCCTCTTCTTCAGTCATCTCGGGAGCCGCGCTGGTTGCTAAGGAGAAAGCGTCCCTCTAGTTGCCAAGGCGACGGGGTCGCGGTCTTGGGGCTGCTGGGCCTGGGCGGCACTCCGGGGGCGGGGCCTACGGTGCTGGGCGGGGCGTTCCTGGGGGTGGGGCGGGACCTAGGGCGCTGGGCGGGGCTGCCGGCTTCCCTCCCTCCCTGGGCTCTGCCCGGCCTTGGGTGCCAGGCTGCGCGCGCGTGCTCCCTCGCGCCGCGCCCTGAGCGTGCAGCCTGGTCCCACTCTGCCCTGCTACATGCTGTGTGCCCTCGGGCAGGGCATGCCCTCCGTTCCCTTTCTTCTCTTTCATTCGTAAACTCTGGAAACACGTCCCGGTGTCCCCTCGACAGGAAGGAGTAAAATTATTGATGAATCTGATGAAAAGGTAAAGCCCACAGCCTTGGCCTCTCCTGCAATGTTGGAGTAATTAACGTTCCCCTGTGGGATGGTCTGATCAGGAGGTGACATAATCCTCTACTGCAAAGAAGAGCTGTTGCCTTGGAGTTCCGGGTCCTGGACACCCAAACGAAAGCGTGTTTGGTCCCCACTGTGAGGTCAGTTGCTTGGTCCACGAGGCTCAACTGGTTTAGGGGGCATTTCCTAGCAGACCTCTGGGAGTGGGGTGCGGTGGAGGCGGTTAGAGGCCACTGTGATGGGACTCATTCACCCACATTCACAAAGGGATGGAATGTAGACTTTGACCTTTCCAAGTAAGATTGTATGTGCAGTTACCGAGATAAATTGACAAAAGATGACATTCAATTTATCACAGAAGTCATCGCATCACAAAGGTCGTGGATATGATATCTTGCCATATGTTATCTTGGAATAGCCTGATTCTATTGAAATATTTTTGTGCTTCAAACATTCACTTGTTAAATATAAATTAAATATAAATATTTAACACTTGCAGCAATTTAAATTTTTTAAAATACTGAATGCTTCAAAAAATGGAGATGGCCCGGAAGCTCCAGACGACTTAGTGGCTCTGGGCTGTCAGGCACTCAAAAGATTTGGCTTTGAGTTACAGCTCTGCAGCCATTCGTGGGAGACTGGGACCCATCTTTTAACCTTTTCCCAAGCTGTTAAATTGGCTGTAAAACAGGAGTGAAACCAGCAGCCTAACAGGGCTGTTAGGATTAAATAAGACATACATGAAAACATTTTCTGAGTTCTCTCCAAAGGTGAAATTGCTTTTCATCCTGCAAGCCTAAGGCACACTTCTACAAATGGAAACCTTTTCATTCCTCTTTTTGTCCCCACCTCCTATTCTTTTCTATAGTTACCTCATTAAATCCTTAATTTGATAAATGAACTTTCAAAGAACTTGCTCATTCTTTTTAAAAAAATTATCAACAATAAAGTGCTGTCAGTTCAAGTGTAAAGATATTCATACAAGACCAGTGTAAAACTTGATAAAATATTCTTCAGCATTCTTTCCAATAACTTGTTAGGTTGAATACTCTAGAATTTACTTGATGCCTGTTACAGATTTTGTTTATCCCTATTGCTATGAAGTTATTCAGGTAAGTACTCCGAAAGTTATTCAACTGGTCATGCTACTGTAATGTCTCACCTTTATTTCATTCTTACTGTTTATACTACTGACAAATAAATGAACTAGGGCCATAGTTATAAGGGGATGGCTTCCAGAGAATTTTAAATATATCATATTGGTAGGTTAAGGAGATTCTATTGATTTGATTACACCAACTAACATGTCTTTTACTGTTATTTCTTCCCATCTTTCAAAATCAGCTTTCATATAACCAGAGTTCAGGGGATGCTTTTATTTTTTGAATTATTATGTTAGTTTGAACCAAACTGATGACACTGCCAGGAAGCAAGATCTCAAATGCTTTTAGAAGATGCTTTATTAACTTGTACTGTATGGGCTAAGGGGTAGAATCAGAACACCTGGGTTCTGCCCACCTCTGCTGCTCACAGGCAGGCTGCTGAGTCCCTCAAACTGTCCAAGTCTCGGCTCTATCATTCACAAAATAAAGTGTTCTTGAGTCAACGTAACAGTCTCAGTGTTTTCCTGTTCTCCCTTGACAATCAAACAGCACGTTGTTTTTGAACACTGGAGAGAGAACAGTGTAGTGTGCGATGGAAGGAACTTATGATCAGTACACCATAAGCTGCTGATCTGCTGTGTGGGAAGTTTAATGATTGATTCTGGACTTGGAGGAAGGGTGGGAAGAGGGTCATCATAGGAAATGAGGTGTGCACCTTTTCATGATCATACTGCCCCCAAGAATCCTGGGAGAGGACACAGCTGAGCACTGGTGCTTTTGAAAGATTCTTCAGGTGGCTTAAAGCCCATATCTACTGCATTTCCCCTTCAATTAATATATATGAGCAAATGTAGAAAATGTGAAAAGTATAAAGAAAATGAAAATTACCTATCTTACCACTTAGTGGACTACTATGAACATGTAGATTTTATTTCATTTTTCTGTTACATAGATTATTTCTCAAAATAGATTGGTTCTATATCGTTTTCATGGAGTATACTTTTTCCCAATTACCATTTTTTCACAAATTTTCATGGCTTCATATTTTCCCATGAACAAAATGTGGAATAACAATCACTTTTTAGAGACATTCCCATTTTTCATTAGAGAAAATGAACATCCTTACAGTGTATCTTTTGCCGAAACATCCTCCTATGCTAGATTGCTAAAATATTACCAGTACAGAAGTTGTAAGCTTTGTAAAGGCTCTATTACAAAGTTTTCCAGAAAGTTTCACCAATATATCCTCCAATAGAATGGAAGAGTGCTCTCTCATTAAATCTTTACTGGTATCATTTTGTTTAAAGAAGAGAAATTATTGAATTATTAGGTGAAATGGCCCAACATAGCTAACCCCATTTACCTTTCTTGAATTACTGGTCAGGTTGAGTATCTTTCATGTGGTTACTGGATGTTTATATTTTTTTTCAGAGTTGTTTCATCATATTATTTGCCTATTCTCATTTTTTTCTTATTGAGTTGTAAGATTTATTGAGTTTATTTTTTTAAAAATTTTCCTTTGAAAGTATAATCAAGACTTAATTTATCTGGTCCAATTCTTTAACCATCTAGGTAACATGGAGGTTTTAATACCTAGCAGAAGTTTTAATAGCTGTGTAGATTATTAAATCTCTCTGTTCTTCTTTCACAGTAATAAAAAGAGCAACTCACTTCACATTAAATTGTAACAATACTGAATTCAAAAATGGAAAACGAAAGCTCCTGGAATCAGTCATTTATCACAAAATGAACAATTTCAATTTTTAAACATACAATCACTTTTCTCCATACTTAACTCAAAATGAGTAAACAGAATTTTATTCAAACTTTACAAATATCCTTTACAGTAAGCCTGAGATTAAGCATGAGAAAGTTCAACCTGAAGTTAGACTTCATTGCCCAGTTAAGCATCTGAAAATGAAGCTGAGAATGAATATGTATTTATCAAACATAATGAAAGCATTCCAATGAAGTTTGACAATGAGAGTGACCTAAAGAGAACCTTAATTTGCTCTGGTCTACATGATCTTTAGAGCCTAAAGTACCTATTATTTAATAATGATTAAAAAAAGCCTGCGGATGACAAATTTATGAAGGTGTGTCCAGATGCAGAATTTTAGTTCAACATTTCTATAGCTGCTGCTTTAGACTATCATTAAAAAACAATGTCCCCAATCCTCATTATTCAACATGTACTTGAAAACATGTAGCAGCATGGAATAGTTAAGTTTATAAATAGTAGTACCTGTAATAAAATATAAAATACAGATTCTCCCTTTTTCAAATATTAAGTCTTTGAATGCTCATTCATCCTTTGGTTTCAAACCCATACAATGCACTCATACTACATTGTAGATTTAGCATTGAGATGGAACACTGTACATCTGTTGGGAAGGAGGGGAGCCATGGGAATAGCAAAGCACTATGTTATAGAGAGTAAACGTTGAAGCAAAAATACTTTCTGAATATATACTGTACATCATGTAAACAAACATTCATAAGAATCAACACAGGCCAAAATATTGTTTTTTAGGAAATCAGAATCTTCTTTCATTAAAATCCCACACATTGAAGATGCTTTTTGTTAAGAAAAAGAATGGAGCCTGTTCCTATATTTGCTTATGTGCTTAAATACCTTGGAAACAAGTAATTATTACATTCATTTGCTAACGGTTTGTCCTTTTAGTTGGCTGGCTGTTGCAAACAAGGAATACAGAACTATTTCAGTCCCTGTTTTTCATTCAATACTAGCTAAGTAATATATAATTAATTCATCTTTTATCAGTCCATATTAATAATATAAATAGATTAAGTGAAGCAGTGAATTTCAAAATTTGTGCAGGGGAAACTAGTTGATAATTTGTTTCCGGTAAGGCTAGTACCAAAATAATTACTACAAAGTCAGTCCACGCTAGTAGTAAACCCCTGATTTACCAAGCTGAATCAAAGTTTGCAGTTAGGTGATTTTAATTCCTATATTACTGTGCAAATCCAGAATTTCCTATGTCATAGAGTGCTGGCAGCATCGAAGCCCTGTAATAACAGAATGAAATACTGATTTGGTTTTGAAATGCAGAGATACTATATGAAGAAGTTTGAATGTCCTATTGATGGTGTCACAGCAATGGCCTTAGGATTCCCTTAATGAATCAGAAACTAAGAAAGATGGCTCATTAGTCAATAAGTTCTGAGTCAAAATCCTAAATTTGAAGCAAGAAATGATAAAGACACAAAATCAAAGATGCAGTCTCTACTATGACCATATGCAAGAATTGCAAGCTTTATGTCAGTATTTTGAACCAGCAGCCGCCCCCTCTAAGGAAAAAGCTTAGTTGTGACTATCCATCCCTTTTCAAAGCTTCCAGTCTTTGAAGGAGTGCGTTTCCGAAGGCATCCCGGTAGGCGGGGCTGAGCGTATCCAGCAGGGAGTAGACTGTTTCATGGTATGGAGTCTGTAAGTGATCATCCACCTGATCAAAAGTGTAACCTACCACCTACAAGAGAAATTCAACAGTGAATTCAATAATTAGATTTCATCTTGGTACAGAAAGCAATAACCAATTGTTTACATGGGTCATTCTTAAATGTACAGTTTTCAATCAAACAGTTACAATATGCATATTTTAAATACAACCTTTAATACTGAAACAATTTATAACACCTAGGAATATCTGCAAAATGCTTTCTCTACAACTTTTTTCTCGAAATTTAAATGACTTAACCTACTCCTGGTCCTAAAAGGAATGTAAAATAGGCAAAGAATTTAAAAACTTACACAAAAATTGTGTTTCATTTTCATAGTCTAAAACATGTTTCAACTGAATTCCACATATATTGAGGGTCTACTATATAAAGATGCTATAATAGATAATATATTATTAGTTCGCATTTTTATCACTATTTGGTTTAGACTTTTCATAAAAAATTCTAGAAATTGTTTATAGCTTTAATCCTGCTTTATAATTAGTTATCTGAAAGGCTACTTCCACGTTACTGATACATTACTTATCTATTTGGGAAACGAATACTCAACTCACTGAGATAAAACAAACTGTTATTCTGTGTGGCTTTTTATCCTTTAAACACAACTAAAGCTTTTCTCTCTGCCAAGATTATGAGATATATTATGGTTCACTAGTACAGTATCGGGCAAAATTAATTTAGTTTTTGTTTACTTGACTACAGCTTGTGAATACCCTATATAAACCCTCAATTTTTATGACATCTATTCAAGCTGTAGAAGATGCATATTTATGTTAGAAGTGGCATTGTTGTTTTAATGAAAAGCAGAGGCAGACATCTAAGGAAGATGAGCCACACATCTTCAGAACCATACTTCACGGCCGCACTTTCTACAGTGTCCAACGGTCACCCCTTATCCGCGGGGGACACGTTCCAGGACCCCCAGTGGATGCTTGAAACTGTGGATAGTACCAAACTCTCTCTATATTATGGTTTTCTCCTATACAGAGAAACCTATGAGAAACCTGAGAAAGTTAAATTTATAAATTAGCAAGAGATTAACAATAACTAATAATAAAATAAAAGAATTATCACAATCTACTGTAATAAAAGTTATGTGATGTGGTCTCTCTCTCTGGTAACTGAGATGGCTGCTAAGTGACTAATGGGTGGGTGGTGTATACAGCGTAGATACAAAAGGGTGATTCTTGTCCGGGCAGCGTGGAAGGCGGCGGCACGAGATGTCATTACGTTACTCAGAAAGGCATGTAAGTTGAAACGTATAAATTATATCTTTCTGGAATTTTCCATTTAATATTTTCAGATTGTGGCTGACCACAGGTAACCAAAACTGCAGAAAGCAAAACTGTGGTACGGCAGAGGACCACCACATTACAGTTCCATCTGCCCCTCTCTCATCTCCGTGAGACACAGGGATCAGGTCTTATTCATTGTTTAGTTCCAATTCCTGACACAGGACAATTGTGTTAAGTGAACAGGACTGAAAAAGCAAACATTTAAGTACCTATTATGCCAGGTTTTATAACTGATCTAGATCTTTTTGCATACTTTATTCATATAATTACCCCCCAATACTTTTCAGTTTTTTTTTTTTTTTTTTTAAACTCCAGGTTATAGATAAAGAATCAGAGACTTGGAGAGGCTGACTGACTCACCCAATATCACTCAAGTTCACATGTAAGACTTCTGATTCTGATCAAAACCCTTCCTACCTCACCAAAGCCATCTTAGAATTAATCGAGATAAGATAAATTAATTTACCTGGAGTCATTTTTCCTCTGCTTTTGCTTTGCCTATTTCTATTTAAGATCTACTTCTAAAGACTACAAGCTTTAAGTACAAATTCAGAGGTTTAGGAAGGCATATACAAAAATTAGCCAATTCAGGTATTACTCTCAAAGTAAAAGCAGCCATCTACATGGCAGTCGTGAGGGAACCGGGAGTGGTGAAGATGCTGGCCTTTCAATGTGCTTCAATGTAAGTGACCCTCTGACAAGGAATATACAGAACATGTGATTCATAAACATCTTAAGGAAACTGAATGTAGCGAAATAGAGATGTTCACGTAGTCCCTGAATATAATATTATGTGACATTCTTACCTCTTACTTAGGCCTTGGCCTCTCTACCTTACGATACTGTGCAACTTTGGGGAACTACCCTTGACGAATATAGAAACGGAAAAGTCAGAGATCTTTGACCAAGACCGAATATTAGTTAATTGGTAAAGTTAAGAAAAAAATCTTGGAGTTCTATTCCTTGTTTTTAGATTTTTATAATCGTTAAGTGGGTTTTGTTTGTTTGTTTGTTTTTTAATGAAAAGCTGGTCTGGGCGGTGCTTTCTACTATTCTAAACCCAGTAATCTGGCTTAAGGAATGTAAGGAGGTCACTGTGCCTAGAAAAGCTCACACGTAATAAAGAGACACTTGTAATAAAGAGCCTGGAAGACACTCTTGGAAATCTGGATGTGTGACTGTCTGCTGTGACTTAATTCTGGTCCAACGGCTGGAGAACAGTGGAGTAAAGTGTGTTGTTTTAATAGAAGAAACATTTGTAAGAGGTAGAAAAAGATCCTCTCAATACAATGATTGCAAAACTCATCCAAAGCAGAGAATGCATAATTTTGGTGGACATATTTAGCTATAGGTAAGAAATAAATTAATTTTGGGGGTGATGATTAAAACAAAGTAACACTCTGCAAATCAAATGTTTTTCCTTTAAAAAAAAAATCCATCTCCCCATGTTCACTGAAAAGACTTTAGAATTTAAAAAATTCCTAGAAAGAGAAGTTCTCCTTAAAAAAATCTTGGAAGCTACTGAGTGTTGAGTTCTCATTTAACACTTTCCCACTCCCTGACCCCTCTTTCATAAAGCGGAAAAGATAGAAATACATTTTTTTTCCTCTAAAAAGAGAAGGGCCTTACCCTAAGCCCCGCCTCAGTGAGCTCCAGGCAGTATCTGTTCCCTTCTCTGGTTTCCACGTTGATGTAGGCCACGTCATCCGCACAGCGCAGGGTTTTTGAGACAAACATGTTGTTAACAGCAAAGAGAACATCGTTTACAACTGCTTCAGCTTCCAGCCTCATGTCTTTCATATCAGTTCCTTCGAAACCATTAAGCTCTGCATTTTCTTCAAAACCTGACATGCTGCTTAGCTCCATGGGGTTACAGTCTGTTTCCATCCTGCAAAAAAGAAGACATCAAACTTGCCTACAGAAACAAGTTCCGTATGTTACGGCTGCATTAAAAGCGGCGACATCTTACAACTGCTGCTCAGTTAAAAACATTAAGTAGTTAACAACTTTTAGGAAAAATATTGTTTAAATTATTTCTAGTAGTTTTTCACAATAAAATTATAGACACTTATAGATTTTCAAAAGAAGGATCTCTATTCACTTCTCCCCAAAAGGTTAATTCCTATGTTGGTAAGAATTGAGAATATCAGTTTTTAGCTATTTCAAACAATGCCTCAGTAAAAATCTTAGTACACTGTTCTTTTTAAATGTATAATTATTTTTCTAAGATAGAGATTTAAAACTGGAATTGCTGAGTCAAAGTACGTGCTCATTTTAACTTTCGATAGTGCTGATTTACCATTCAAAAAAAGGCTGTACTGATTTAAATTCGATCAGCAGAATACGAGGGACTGTACCCTTTTCCACCACATTCTTTCCAATACTTTTTAATATTTGCCAGTTTGAGAGGCAAAGAATCATGTTCTCAGCCACTAACCCTACCTCAGAGAAACTGAATCAAAATCTCTAGGAGATTTTTTCTGGGTATTTTTTCAGAGCTTCTGGGTGATTCTACTGTATAGTCATTAAAATTTAGAATCTAAATTATCAGCAAAAATCTTAGAGAGATAGAGTTCCCACAGCTGCATGTTATTTGCACATTATAAATATCAAAACTATTTGCTAAAGATAATTTATGATAAACTATATAAAACTATTTTAAAAAGTTATAGAGCAAATGTACAAATATATTCCTCTAGTCCCATTCTAATGGTATATTTATTTTAAAGATCCTTTATCTAGCTTCCCACAGTACTTTACAAAATGTCACTCCTAACAATACAAGTTAATTGATTTACCAATCATTGCTAAAGCAGTCTGTAAGATAACTGAAATCTAATATTGACTTACTATATATAAATGTAAAGATACTTGATTTTCTAAAAATTCCTACCTTACTCTAAATATAATATACTTGGTTTTATAAATAAAAAATGGGCCCATTTTTTTTACAGAGTCAGTTTGAAGACTTTGAAATTTGTTCACTATAAATCTCTTAGCTTCACAGATATCAAACATCTTTATTTGGCTTAAGTAATCGAATACCTCAATTAGGGATGTCAGAAATAATCATCATTACATGAAAAAGATGTTTGTATGAGACAGTGTGACAGTATATAAAGTTTTTAAAGCAAGAGTCTAATTCATTGCAATTAGGACCTTAATGACGGAGAAAGATGAAGGATCCCCACAAGGATGGGGAAATCCTCACAGGTCAGTAAAGCAGGTCATCAAACTGTTATGTAGTAATTAGCACCAAGTGGCAAGAAAGAGAGATACACTTCCTAAGACTGTGAACTTCTAGACGATTTTTTCTAAAATATCTTTGAATGACACAGAAAACAGCAGACATTCAGAACTTCTGCCAATGATATAAATGAAAGATTTTATTAATGAAGCATTACACAAGAACATTTTAAGTTTACTAAAGTATTATCATAACTTCTCTTCTGTTGGTTGTCACAGGCTCTTATTTATAGCCTTTCCCTTTCCTAATAGCACCCAGATTTTCCAAGGGGAACCATAATGCCCCCTTCTCCTACTAAGTAAAGTAACCATGCAATTTGGGCGAGATTGACTTCAACCCCAGTGACAGACTGTTCTAAACTAATCAATATACAAAATTCTTCTAGTCACTTTAACTCAGAATAGAGCACAGAGCTCCAGTTGTTCCTGGCATGGAAACATCCTGAGATGGGAAAAAATAGCTCAAGGATGCTGCTGACAACAGGAAAAGAACAGAGCCAAGAGAGTCACTGAGAATGGAGCCAGAGGCCTGATGGCTGCCCAAGCTTTGCCCTTTCCAGTTATTGTCGGCAATAAATTCCCATCAATTTACTGGCCACTATCAGAAAGTATCCTGATTTACAAGACTACCTACCAAAAGTGAAAAGCAGTGATTTACTTAGCTCTTGAAGAGCTTTATATACGAGATTGGAAAAATGGTGATATTTTTGTACCTGTCATACAGAAACTGCTTATAAAAGCTCTGCAGAATTTGAATATCAATATGTGCCTGTATCAAGTTTCATATTGCTGCCGTAACAAACTATAACAAACTTAGTGACTTAAAACAACACAAATTTATTTTCTTACAACTCTGGAGATGAGAAATATAAAATGAAGGTGTCAGCAGGGCAGCATTCCTTCTGGGGCCGTCAGGGGAGAATTTGTTTCCTTGCCCTTTCTAGCTTCTGGAGGCCACGTGGATTCCTTGGCTCATGGTCTCTTTCTGCCTTCAAAGCATGTCACTCTGACCTAAGGACACTTGTGATCCCATCGGGCGCACCCAGACAAGGTCCCCCATTCAAGGCCCTTAACTTAGCAAACCTGCAAAATTCCTTTTGTCATATAAGGTAACATAATCAGTTTCTGGGGATTAGGACATGGACATCTTTGGGAGGCCATTATTCTATCACAGTGTCGATATCTTATTAGCAGAAAAAGTCTCTGAAGGTAATTGAAGTAACTTCATTTTCTGCCCTTCCATTTTGGAACAGTCATAATTTACTTTTAATTAACACATTAAATGGGCAGTGTAAATAGGCAGTTTACACGAGTCTCTTAAAAGGAGGCCCAGAGTACTTGTCAAGTTCACTGCCTTTTTTGGAAAGGTTCTTTAATTACGAGTTTCATGCTTTGTACTCTGAAACTCCAGAACTATCATCTCAGCACAATGTACTAAGGATGGGTGTTTCAATTAGAGGCACAATCTTGAAGCCCGCAAGGTGTCTATGAATTGTCCTAAATCAAGAATTCTGTTCAACTACTTGATTCAGGATGGTAACTGGCATATCCAATTAGTTCCTCTCTTGAGGAGTCTGAACACAGCCAAAAAACATGAAGTCAGTTGGTTTTGACAGAAGCCACAGAAGCAAAGCACAGACCAACTGGGTGGCCTTGTCAATGGGGCACTAGAGAAGTGGTTTCTACTTTTTTTGATCATGCATCCCAATAAATGAAAGTATTTTGAGCAGATACCTCATAATATGTATATTTACATATATATTCTACTGCAATTAAAATATTAAAAATACAAACGGGATGTCAAATTTGAAATGTAAACTTATTTTCTTACTTCTCAGTGGATTATCTTGTATACCTAATTGTGGAAACCTGCACACTGAGGGGGAGGAAATATGTGCCCATTTTGTACCACCACCAGAATTACTATCGACACGTAAGAGCTGCTGTCAGGTTGCCAAAATGGCTGACTCATCTATGTGAATTCTGTAAAAATTCTTGGATTCCCTTTCTGTGGGTAGGACAACTGATCATTATGTAAGAAATTCCAGACCAACAGGACTTTCTGTGATGGCAGAAATGTTCCTTAATTATGCTGTCCAGTACAGTAGCTACTAGCCACACATAGCTTCTAAGCACTTGGAAGTCTGGCTAGAGTGACTGAGGAATGGAATTTCAAATTTTATTTAATTTTCAGTCATTTAAATTTAAATAGCTAGTGGTTACTGTATCAGAGAGCACAAGTCTAGACTTTTGTGAATATTTGTGGATAATATGAAATAATGAACTGAGTTATATTATGGTTGAAAAGCTAATAGATGTAAAGTTAATAACTGAACTAAGCTTACTAGATATAAGAGTAGTGAGATCTGGAAATACATATGAGAAAATCTATTTTGAACTTTAGCTACTCTGTAGAGGGGAATTAACCATCATTGTTTCAACTGGTAAAAACTAATGAATTACTTCTTTTATTATGCAATCTTATCAATTTAGATTCCAAGTTTATTAATTAAATATCATAATCCACTGGTGCATCATTTTTCCAGCATTTTTCTAAGCATTAGAATACTAACTGAAGATGTCTACTGGTAGCTTATAGCCTAATTTAGGAGATAAGACAGGTATGTAAAAGATGTACACAAATATTAATATTACACACATACATAATTAAAACTTAAGAAGTGTACTTAATTGGGAGGGGCAGATGATTAGGGAAAACAATGATATATCTTGGTCCTACTACAAACTTATCACGTAACTTATACGAACTTAGGCAGCCATTGGACTCATGTTTTTCTCATTTATAAGAGGAACGGGTGAGACATTCTTTACTGTTCTCGAGAGCTCTGACATTCCATAACCTATGACATAATTGTTGGTTATGATGGGTCTTGACTCATGGAACAGGTAAGTCAAAATAGGTCTTGAATGAACACAGATGAGGAGATATAGGAAAGCTGAAAGGACTTGAAAATTGTAAAGAATTATTCATAGGGAATAATGCATAAGCAAGTCTGTACAGGGTGTGATAGGATAGTAAGGAGACCAGCTTAGTTTAATATAAAGAAATTGTTGGGGAGTAATAGAAAGGGGTAGCTTAATTTCACAGAGTGCTGATATGCAGAGGAATTTAATTTTGATATAATAGGCCATTTTAAGCTCTTGAGAATAGGAATAGCAATGTCTTCATACTTCAAGTGGGTTTTTTATAGGCAGAATATAGTTTGGTTCTTTTTTTATCCAATCTGGAGGTTTCTACATTTTAATCGGGGTGTTGAGACCATTTACATTTAATAGAATAACTGTGATTGATACGATTAGTATGATTAATTTGGTTACTATCTATCTTGCTGTTTGTATTCCATTTGTTCCATCTGTACTTTACTCTCTTTTCCTCGCTGCCTACTTTTTGGACTAACTACTTTTTAGGATTCTATTTTACATCCTTTGGTGGCTTATTAACTATAACTCTTTATTGTGTGTATTGTGGCTGCTTTAGAGTTTAAAGTATACATCTTAATCAGTCTACCTCCGAGTGATATTATACCACTTCGCATAGACCCTAACAAGGGTATACTAGCCTTTGTGCTATTTTCATCATATATTTTACTTCTACATTTTAGTAACTTCATAATACACGTTATTTTTGCTTTACGCAGTTAATAATTTTTCAAAAAGATTTCGGTGATAAGAAAAAAGTATATTTTGTTTAACTATATAGTTACTATTTCTGATACCCCCATTCTTCTGTGTTGATCTACACCTGCATCTATAATCTGTTATCATCTTCCTTCTACTAGATGGATTTCCATTAACATTTCTTGTAGTATAGATCTGCTGCTGTAAAATTCTTTCGGCTTTTGTATATCTGAACAAGTCTTCCAACTTCATTTTTGAAAGTTAGTTTTGCTAGGTATAGAATCCTAGGTTGACAGGTTCCCCCCCACCCCCTTTCGAGACTTTTAAAGATGTTTCTCATCTATCATCTTGCTTGCATTGTTTCCCATGAGATATGTGATGTCATTATTATCTTTGTTCCTATTGGTGTAGTTTTCTATGTTTCTTTTCTTAGGGTTCATTGAGCCACTTGCAACTGTGGATTTACCATTTTTAACACATTTCAAAAAAATTTGGCCATTATTTTTTCAAACATTTATCTGTCCCACCTCCCTTTGGGGGCTCCTGATTTCATATTAGTCCAGCGAAGGTGTCTTACTTCTCATTGCTTGGTTCATTTTTCAGTCTCTTTTCTCTTTGTGTTTCACTTTGAATAGTTTCTATTGCTGTCTTCAAGTTCACTATTCTTTTCTTCTGCAGAACCCATGCTATTAATCCTACGCAGTGTGTTTTGCATCTTGAAATTGTGATTTAATTTGAGTTGTTTGATTTAGGTCCTTTTTATATCCTCTGAATCTATTGTACGTTCAAGCTTTCCTCTAACTTTTTGTCTTCTTTTTTTTTTGTAAACATATGAAATAGTTATAAGTGTTTTAATGTGCTTGTCTACTCGTTTCATTGTTTTTTTCTGGGTTAGTTTCAACAGATTTTTCTCTTCGTTAAGGGTTGTATACTGCTGCTTTGGGTGCCTGGTTTTTTTTTTTTTAATATGAGAATTTTTTAACGACTAATGAAAGGGAAATATAATTATCACAATTTCTTAATGGATTTTAGAAGTAAAAATCAAAATACATATTTAGAAATATTTAGGGGAAATGTCTATAGAATATTACAAGTAGGTGCCTGGCAATTTTTGATTAAATACCAGACAGTATGGATTTTACCTTGTATGGTGCTAGATATTTTTATATTCCTATAAATATACGTTTTTTAATTTTTCTATTAGAGTTGACGTTCAATATTATTATACATTAGTTTCAGGTGTATAGCATAGTGGTTAGACATTTATTGAGCATTGTCCTGGGGTACAGTTACCTGGAAACAGCTTGATCTTTTTGAGTTTTGTTTTTAGGCTTTTAAAGGCAATATCAAAGCTGAATTTAGTCTCTGGTTAATTCTGCCCCCACTATGGAGGCAAAAGCTTTCTAAGTACGCTGCCCAATGCCCTATGAATTATGAGGGTTTCCATTCTGGGAGATAGGAACAGGAACTATCTCTGATCTTGTTGGAGCTCTGAAAATTCCTCTATTTCTTTTTGCTAATTCTTTCCCCAGCCTGGGTAGTTTCCTCACACCTATGTGTTGGTCAGTATTGAGGTGCACAGACTAGAGGGGGGCCCTCAATAACTCCATAGCTCTCACTCTCTGTGAAGCTCTCTACTTTCCAGTACTCTGTCCTAGATGCCTGTTGCCTCCTAGATCCGTATTCTCAATTCAAGGAGACTAACGAGCTTTACCTGGGTTTCTCCTCTAAGTTCCATGCCTGGAAATTCTCTCTGGGCAACAAACTGAGGCAAAAGGCTCACCTTATTTGTATCTTGCCTCTCAGGGATCACTGTCCTTCACTGCTTGATGCCCAAAGTCTTAAAAACAATTGTTTCCTATATTTTTGCCCATTTCTTTTGTTATTTCAGGTAGAAAAGTAAATTTGGTCTCTGCTGCTCTATCTTAGCTAGAAGTGAAAATTCCATTACCCAGTTTTGAGCTAACTTTGCCATCTTATTACATTGGTTGTTATTTCACTGATTTTGGTCTCTCCTATATTACTCTGAATCTGGTTCCTTCACTGACACACGCTTACTATGTTTGTATGAACAAGTGCTTTTTAACTTGAAAAAATTTGTACTTTGACACTACTTTCAGACTTTTAATCTTTCAAAATTCAGCTCATATACACCTATTTCAGGATTCCCTATCTGATCTCAAAATAAAGTTAATCACTATCCTCCTTCCTTAGTAGAATCTCTGCATTGGTACTATTCTACTTACCATATTGCATTGCAAATGGGGGCCTGTGATGTCTATATCACCAGTACCGTGTCTGGCATAAAGCAGGTCTTCACTAAATATTTTCTGAGTGAATAAACCAAAGAAAAAATTTTAACTCTTTGCTTCTCAAGATGTAGTGCTCAGCCCTGTGACAAAGGGCATACAAAGCCACAGGATAAACATAGCAGACATTCCTTGAAAACACATATCACTATTATAGTAACAACATTATGAAGTATGACGCAAAATGGCCTAGAATTTTAAAGCAAATGGAAGTCTCAAGTCACGTCTTCTTTAAGCTATGTCTCCATACCCCTAGGACTTCTTTTGCCTCTGACAGACATATTTGAGTGAAAAATAGGTAAGGAATAGTGTTAACTGAAGGAATTAACTCAAAAAGCTGGAAATTCTAGGTATCGCATCTGGGGATATGAAGGCAGAGGTGGGAGCTGGTAGAAGGGTAGGAGGTTATAAACGAGTTAGACTTTTTCTAAGTATTTACAGCTCTTCCCACTTCAGTTACATTGTCTGTTGTTAAAAGTTAATTATTGATAGCTCTTACTCCATCTGTTGGTATGATTTGGGGGATGTGTTAGTATTTTTGGAGAATTCGTGAAACTAGTTATCAAAATAGTGATTTCTAAGTCCTTTATTCTGTTTCTTAATTTTTTATACTCCAATTTTTCTACAGCAAAAAATGTATTTATGTTTGCAATAGGACAAAAAAAAATAAATAAAAATGTGATATATTTGAAAGTAGAAGGTGTAGGAAGCAGAAACATTTTTCTTTTTAGGAAAGCCAGGCTACTAAGACAGTTAAAGTAATTGATAGCTTCAGTTTCAAAGGAAATGAAAAGTTTGAATTTATCTGCATTTTGAACAACTGTTTTGAAAGTAAAGGTGAAGAAAGTTGATTAATCATAATTAGCAATGTTGATTAATCATAATTAGCAACATTTAGAATTCAGGCGAATCTAAAGCTAGTTTAAATCTTTATTTTCTGTAACATATAACATTTAATCTATTTTCAACAACTCAAAGACTTATACTTTGAAAAAATTTTAAATTAGAATCATTGTAGTATAACAAATATAAAGTACTTTAGTAATTCAAATACAAATGGCCTACTTTTCCATTTGTATACTGATTTATAAAGTTACTCTGTACCTTACTTTCAATGACAGTGACACATATACGCTAATAACAAATCGAGCCAACAGAATTGTACTGTACTTTTGTTGAGTAAGGGGGTGCTGAGGGTGAAGAAATGTTAATTTGAGAAGTTGTTTAAACTGTAAATAAGCAGCAACACTACAACCTTGTGAACAACTTTCCCTTCAAAACCAGAAACTGTAATTGAGAATCTAAGACTCTCAAAAACAGGATGCTTAAAAAAAATTCCAGGAATGAGTTTTGGTTGCTATATAATCCTTTAGGTTATAGAGAGAATTTGGTATATTATAAGTACATTCTAACCAACACACACACATACATACAAATCAATATCTAAAGAAATATAAACTAGAAAACTTCTTTGCTTTCCACTTAAACTCTAAATTGGCTTTCCACCATGTTCTGAGCAATATTCTGTTGCCAGCATCTTCATACATAAATAATTTAGGAAGCAGCCTGACAAAACAACAGAGTCAGAAAGATTTCAAGAGTAGTATACAGATATCAAATTTTCACTTTGAAAGGTTGACTTTTCAGTTGAATTACAACAGTTGGCTGAAGGCTAGAAGGCAGTATCTTAATCATGGTTACTTTTATTGCACCATACATCACAGTCTGCAAAATCATCTCAACATGAACGAGAAGCAATCAGTCTGGTGTGGTTGTTAAGGGCTCTTGAAAAGACTGATGGGGAAAGAATCTCGGTGCTGCTAGTTACTCTGCATTTTGGAGCAAGATATTTGAATCTTTCTCTGTCACACATTCCTTCTAAGGTGAAGCCAAGAGCATCTACCTTAAGGGGACACTGAGAGAACT